AGTCCTACGTCATTTAGATTTTGCTCCTTTTTCTTTACCTGAAGACGTGTTTTAGTAATGGCCAGGCATGTTTTCTGCGATGTCTTTTTCTTGGACATGTTAAAAGTTTGTTGACACCATGCAGCTTGTGTCATTAGCCGCACTATCGGGGTCCTTGTTGATATTTCGATCTTCAAAATAAACACACAGAGAAAAAAACAAACAAACAAACTTGTTGGAGATGCTGTCCAGAATAAATCATATTTGTCAGTTGGCACCATATATAACGCCTCTTCCTGGTCACAAGTACTGTCTCTCGGTCACTCACGCTTAAACGTGTGCTAAATATGAATCTGACCGTCAGTGTAGTATTATCGTGGTAATTCAATATTGGAACTGGCTGGTTGGGAGCTAATGAAACTACATCCAATGGTCTGCCCGGAAGTTAGCAACACCGTCATTGTATCCCATTTACTTATCATCAATTGAATTTATTTGAAAGTATATTATACGTTCCGTTGTCTGTGATCGACCTTAATTATATTATCTCGAAACGTGAAATATGTAGGCTTTTATGTTTAACATAATGGTTTTATTTTTCAGAAAATATATATTTGGAGGTAACAACACTACAAAAAATGATTGATTAACAAATAACTCATCAATATTTTCAAAATGTCTTGTCTGGTATAATTTGTTAGCAGCTATCCTCTCTGGACAGGAATTATTACCTGATAACTCACACCTGTACGAGACAAACTATTCTGCATTGTTATTACATACCTTCTGAACAATGAAATAAGCAATCAAAGGCGGTGAATTGGTCATATCAAATAAAAGTATAAAGCCTATGGAGTGAACATATATGATTATGTATGTTGACAGTTTATAATCATAAAAAAAATATGAGACTGAATCTGTTTATATTATTGTACTGTCTGACCGTAATTTTCATGCAATCGAGAGAGAGAAAAATAGATAAATGCAGCTTATATCTCCTCACAAAGACTGCGGCATTTTAATTTACTTTGACCATATTGTATCAAATAACAAAATAAACATGATTGAAACTAACATTTTCATTTGTTAAACAATTTTCTTAACTAGAAGTCCAAAATCATCAGGTTACTTTTCATTGGCGAGTTGTGCGGCGCAATAACTTCTCAACGGAACAGAGGTCACATAAAAACTAAAGAAATCTTCTGTAGATCTGTGTATATCAAAGTATAAATATCAAATCGAAAAACATTTCAAAATAAATTCTGCCTTTATCACAGTGGTTACGATTTATGTAGAATGCAATTCGTAGCTTGATGTAACGTCAACACAATATAAAAATTGTAAAACATACTTCTAATTGTTCTTACAAGAAAGATAGCAGGTTCGGCTTGCTTGCGATCCAAGTCTGTTAATACGAGTATAACCTACAGAAAGTTTAAGATATTAACATTTCACAACTTAAGTCCGTGTCATGGAATTTCTGCGGAATGAAAACAAGCACTGTATTGTTGTTGTCCCCTTATTCGGTTGCTTTAATTTTGACCTAAGATATATATAAGCGGTACATTTTCATTAGAAACATACCTGTTAGCAGTAAAATTATGAGCTGTAAATAAATATGCTATATATCACCTTAACTATGTCCTTCTCAGAGTCTCTCCCGAAGAGTTTGTAAGAATGTCAAAATATGATGATAGATATTGTGTGACATCTTGTCTGAACACTATTGCCAACAATCTAGGACAGATAACGTCGATGTAACAATCATAGCTATTACTTGTCGTAGCTCAAACCACAGGTGTTCTTTGTAACTCTCGCTGATATAAAACAGCAGTGTCATTTCGAACCAGGAAGTTAATAATTGTGTCTCATGTTTTTATTTCGATTTCTAAGGAGAGAAAGTAGATCAAACACACATCGTGTCAATCAGTCTAGACATTAGCTATTTGTCACAAGATGCCAGGATTAATGGACGTGTCAGTTAAAGGAATCTTAGTTCAATGTGACGGTCTCGTTATAATGAATTTTATCACCGTATCAAACAACGAGTTTTCAGTTATAGTTATTTTTCCCTTCTACAGAAAAATCGGATGTGTAATACAGAATACAAAAAATAAAAAAAATTATCTTGGTAATGTTCACAGAAATTTTAAAATGATTTGCTTTCACATCTTAAAATTTTATTTTTGTTTATCGTATCAATACCTAAGCTGTACTGTAATAGGTGATATGTCATAGCGAGGATACAGACAATTAAGTTCCACAGTTTATAAATCCAGCTTCAGTTAAGTTCTTGATTCTGAAAGCGTTACGGCTTATAAAGTTCAACATTGTACACGGCATTTTATAATATTTGGGTGATATACATAGTCGATCCTACATGCAATCATTCTTACAGTGACACGCAGACACTTGCACGCTCCAATACACAGCACACTTATCAACATAACCATGTACTACATTAATGAATTACAAATTATATATTGTACAGATGATTGAAAGAACAACAATATCTTTAACATCGATATCAAGAAAAATATTTCACAATGTTTCTGAACGTCATTTAAATGCAATATTTAAGAACTTTCCAAGATTACCTAATTCAGCTTGTAGCCAAACACATGCATCAGAATGAAAAGTCTATAAAATTCTACACAAACCACCACGGGTAGGGAGTGTCGAACAACGCACCCCGGATCTTCACTTAAGGTTACGTAGGATACTAATTGACGGATCTATCGTGGCGCCTTAGCCTGGAGGCACTCCTTCAATGAAGTGATGACATCATGTGAATTATGACATCAACAAAGAAAGCGATATGAAGTGAGACAAATAACGAATTAATTTTTAAATTTTTCCCCCGTATTTTTCGTAACTTAAAAAGTTTTGTGACACACATGATCTTTCATTAGTTTCCATTTCAAATAACATTTAAGAGACAAATCTCGGATATTTTTTAACTTTACATCGTCTAAGGCTCGGTCAGGTCAACAAAATCTTAGATTTAATTCATCAGTCGAATATTGTTTTCGAATAGACACCTACCATAAATTATATATATGCTTTATAATACCTCCTGTATACTTCACGCGAACCTCCGCAGGCCTCGTCTAATATTAATGACCCATGTGATTATACACGTCAACACAACAATGACGAATTGAAAGCCTGCTGTCAAGTTAGAGATACACATGCTTATACAGTGAGTGGTTTAATAATTACGTATGATTTTAAATATGTCGATGTAACTTTACACCTATGAATGGAAAGAGCAATATTTTATTAGTTAAGAATATGAAATATCAAACACACACATATGTATATACTGATGCGTATAATTCATTGATCGTTTTCGAACTATAGATCTTCTTTTTGCACTGTGTTTAAACAAGCAGAGATGTAAGATTTTTGTATCCTAAGTCTTTACCTTCACAGTTTTTGCTCCAATAGTTGTTGAATTAATTTCAATGTTAATCTATTATTCTACAAATGTTAATATGCCAGTATAATATTACTTTCTTATTTAATAGTGTAGTGTAACTACACGTATTCAATACCGCATCCCTACGACACATCTAGTGAGAGTGGATCAGGACGTAAAGTTGATAAAAAAGACACCAAACAAAAATGATTGATTCATCGTTTTGTGTTACTTTAATCAAGTATTTGTTTATTACTGTGTTTGGAGGGATGCCAATTCGGTTGATCTATGGCTATTAAGTGATAAACCTTTCGTGACAGGAAATAAAATTAACGTCAACTGCATCTATCTTGAAACGTGTGTCGAAGTGACTGAAATAACCAGTCACAGGTACGGGCGTAAAAAAATCTTAAGACGTCGACGGGGTCCGTACGCTATAAATAAAAAATCTAACAAAAATCACTTAGGGGCGATATGGAAATATTTTCTTACCTGAGCTCGTTTTCCTGCCCTTCATCTTGCAACCTCCGGTGCTCCACACTTTAGTAACCCCGGAGTTGGGATTGTACACGATGCAATATACTGTTGAATGTTACAGTAAACAAAATTAAGCATCTGGCTTGTTTCCAACCATCGTTTTATATTTTTGCTATTATACTTCAAATGTGAAAATATCTAAAAATAGAGGAAATGTTTTAAACTAAAACGTAAGATTTTACGTGGATTCAAGAAGAAATACGTCCTTCATAGATATAATTTTGTGCCTTTTCTGATCATTTATCAGTATTCATAACATTACTGCGTGGCGAATCTGGATAAGTGTGGGCGCTATATACAAAAAACAACCCGATAAAAAGATATCATTAATAGTTGATATCGTATCTGGAATAGGAGAAGCTTAAACACAAGGAATAGGATAACATAATACTGCATACGGTATACAAGTAATAGTTTCTAAACATAGATATCATTTTTTCAGACCATGACGAATATTATTAAGATATTCACAGGTCCACACATGTTCGATAGGCTTAGATAGAGTCATCGTAATAAGGATGTATAAAATACAATCTTTATCTTATATTAAGAAGACTGTTAGTTTTTGTAGCCATTTTATATCGCTATTTTATCAAGATAATTTCACTGGACAATGCCAAGTAGAAGACACAAGGGAAACAACTCGTTTTTATCTTCATTATATTTTTCTGCGGAGATGATATTTTCGCAATATACAGCGTGATCGTCTACATTTGATTCTCGAAATACAGAGACACGTGAATTTTAGATGTTGTTTTACATTCTTGTCGGGAAGTGTTAATTCACTGAATGTTTAACTATATCGCTTTTGATAGATGAATATTTCCAACAATGCGGTGCACAGTAACATATCTTGAAAATAAAATCAACACCGATTATTCAATCATAAATTAAGATTTTAATTCAGTAAAATCTTCACGTAAAAAAATCTGAAGACATAAGTAAGATAAAACATTGAATGGAATAAATAATTCAGATATATTTTTTATCTTATTGTGGATTTGTGTAATTAATTAGTAATGCAGTAAGCGGCATATCATTAAAGTCATTTAAACGTTTACATTTATTTACACTTCCCATAAGGTGACTTTTGTGAGTAAAGACGTTTTGAAGTCCTAACTGTTAACGGCATTTTCTTGTATTTATTACAATCTCTCCATGGCCATCCTTTACCGTAATCACAATAAAATGTCATAAAAACTTCCCCGTTATAAGACTGGGGACAGTAATCAGATTTAAAATCCCATCGACCGAGCACAGCCTCACCAAATGTATTGCTATACATGCGGGGAGTGCGGGTGTTTGCCTTTATTGCCCCAGAACACGGGACGTAACGGGGTGGATTTGAATTCCGAACAAGACATCTCGGCTGACAGACTCGACCGTATGAATCATATGCATGGATAAAGGTCCGACTTGGTCCAAGTGAAGGGTTTCTGAATCCAACGTATGTGTACGATTCCATCACCGGATGTCGAGCATCAATCATGGCGTAATCTTTGTATGTCCCAGCGTAGTTTATGCCATTTGTCTCTATAAAGATCTTTCCGGCCCCTGATCCGTATTTGGGACATTTTGGATACACCGCTGGTGTTCCTCGTTGCATATATCTCTTCATTTGATTGTAAATCGTTGGATTATACATGTCAAATCCATCTTGTATTTTTCCTTTGCGAACGTTTCTACCATCAAATGATAATCCCTCGGGACGGCGATACACGACCCTAATAGGCATAAAAGCCCATCTATTAACGTCGGAGACTCCATCTAAAGTGAATGTGTTTTGGATTCCTTGATTTATTGCTGATGAGAAACCGAAGTTAGAGGGAAATGTTAATGTCTGTGGAGGTATGTTTTGGCGTGGAACAAATCCACCATTGTTCGGCATACCATTATGTGCCATAGATGGCACACCATTCTGTGGTATAGCTGGCATACCGTTATGAAAAACTGTTGACATCCTATTTTGTGCCATTTGCAATGGTATTCTGTTCTGTGCAAGTCCCTGCATGACATTGCCAGATATTCCATTATTTCTAGCTCGTGGAAACTGAAAAGGACTTGTCATTGCCTGGTTGATGTTAAAAGGTGTTCTCAACGATTGGGCTGACGACTGACCTCGATTGCCACCCATGGCGGTCATCATTGCTCTTATATTAGCGTTGGATTGTCCCCTTGCTGATGATGTACGTAACAGATTGGTTGCGAGATTAGTTCCGGTTCCCGTGCCACCATCCGTAAAAGCCCCAAAAGCACTTCCTGCTCCATCAGCACGTGGTCCCGAGGGTAATGGCGTGTTTCTGGCCCTTGGATCCACAAATGATGACGTGAAAGTTTCGCCAAGAGCAAGGGGTCCTTGCGCCTGAGCGGCAAGTGATGCTACCGACACTCCGCCGAAGCTAGTTCCGGAAGCTCTTGCTTCTCCTACAGCAGAACGATCTGCAGATACGCATACTCCACGCGTTACATCACAAAACATGTAAGGAGAACCACATGCAGGACATACTGGGCTGCGTTCGTATCCGTAGATATCCCTAGTGAAACGGTCACTGTAACCGTCTATATTTCTATAATCTGGAAAACCATCCATCACGCGATCCCTAAAATGGGCAGGTCGGTCTCGGAGATAAAAGTTTGGTAAATAATCATTGGTTGAGTCGATTCCGAAATTTCTTTGTTTTAATCGGAATTGTTCCCATAGATAATCAATAAAGCAATGATGAAAGAAGAAAACCGGATCCTGCGCTGATGTTGACAAACCTCTCATCAATCCACCTACCCAAGCGTGAACGCCGTCGTGTTGACGCTCCAAGACGTTTTGACGGAGCCATGGTCGTTGTCCGTACCACACAGTTATTTGCCAGTGAAATCGGATGTTGTTGTTTGGGTTGAGGATATTGTTAATAAGGCGTTTCTGCATCAATGATGTACCAAATGACGCAATGTTTCTGGTTAATAAACCACCTCCCTCCACCACCCAGTTAGAAAATGGTCCTATATTGACCACACCGTCGCCGTTGCCAAAGAACTGTGATGACCAAACGATTGATTGAATGGGGTCGTTCATGTCGAAGTCGAGGCTTGAATCCCAGTAGGCCAAGGTCACCGTTGGGTTAACTTCCATCAATGCCTCCTCCAGTCTTGAAATATAAATTATTCAATATTATCAATAAATATTCTCTTGTATCAGTCAGCTATCGTTTAAAGTGCTTATCAAAAAAGCTGTTCTCTTGTTTTTCATTTGGAATTGTATAATCTAAATCAGGTTGTTTTTCTAAATTAATGTTTTTTCAAGCTATTTCTTTATGAAAAATAATCGAGTGCTTAGTCGTGTCAGAAAATAATAAAAAAGGGTCTGTAGCCAAACTTACGCAAGCAGGTAAACTCTATGCCAGCCGAGAAAGTTTGGACCATTGTGAGCCGACGTGATAGCCATATTCTGATGGAATGAGGCCAATGTGTCATATCGCCCGTTCTGAATAAAATAGAACGTTGAAAGTGGTTAAACAGATCCTTCATGTTAAATAACTGAATCTAAGATATCGTTTCTCAAATTGTATGATTCAATTAAACTAAAAATACAATTTAAACGCGGTCGCACCATAAATATAAAAGTGAATATAGCAAATCGTTCGTTTATATGAACTTGACTATTGCCAACTTGGATATTAAAGAAAAAAAAGGTATTTGTTTTTACAAATAATTAATTAAATGCTTATCAAATATAACTTTTTTGTGTTATAACAGAAACACCAAAGTCATATGTCTATTTTATCAGATCAGCAAAACAAAAAGTGTTAAAGCAATCTTAAGAAAAAAATGTGCAATTACAAGTGGAATACATGACATAAGATCAGCATGTATTGAAACACTACCCTAAGAATTTACAGATGAGCCAATCCCAAAGCAATATTTCTCACGTTCAAACTTGTCTTCGAAATTTGTGTTGTTTGAGGCAAAGATTACTTGTAATCAGTTACATGGTAGCATACATAGTAATTTACTTTTAAACTAGTAGCTTCCATTATTTTCCAGGAGAATAATTCTCCAGAATTTCATTGTAATATAATTTAATTGAAAGGATTTTAGTGAGTATCAAGATTATGAAAAGTCTGTAAATGTATTTGTTACATAACGGGCGGTAGGGGCACGAAATTTGTGCCTGCGCTTAGTCCTTGTCATATTTCATCTTACAGTAAAAATATAATCCATACCGGATGTTGTTTTTTCATATAAATCTGTCGAAATTCAGCCTCATCCGGTCGAAATTTAAAGATAAGTATATATTAGTTTAGTACTTAGGGAAAGAATTTGCGTCTTACTTTCCTGCCGTTAGTTGTTTTCATTTTTAGTCTGGTGATATATACTGCACACACTGGCAATAGATCCTTTCATGCGCATTCTGTAATATGTTTTATTATATATTGTTAAATAATGCACAATTTTGCTAATATGTGTCTTATTGAGCATCACCCTGGTGTATCAATGTTTGTACCATTGCATACCTGTTTTAGAACATTGAATGCTTCAAACAGTGCGCCTCTTTGTTGGTCCGTTAGTCGTCTGATTTCCTGCCTGATTCTTATAGCCCCTGCTTGGCGCTTGTGACGTTTTGAAGCGTATTTCCGTACAAGGGAGCTAACCCATGCCACTTCTTCCGCAGTGATATTTGAGTGGTATCTAAGATTATTCGTTAATGCCAAAAAGCTCTGGACACAAGAGTGCATTATTCCAGCTGCCGGATAATCTTCAACACTGATATTTCTGGTCTCCATTTCCAGACAGTTATACAGACCCGTGTCTATCGGTTCTACTTCGATGTAGGCGTAACAGGAGCTAACCAGGAACAGCAAACCCACGCAGAAACATTGTGCTATGGAACTGACTTTCATCTACGAAAGCAATGATACAATAAAACAAGATAAAAATTCCGGGAAAAAAATTCATTCTGCTTCAAAAGTTTCTCACTGGCGTGAAAAGTTGAACTATTGGAGAAAAATATTTAAAAATCTCATTTGCAGGATATGATATTACCTTCTTCCATTAGTATAGAAATCACAAAAAATAATTGTGTCCCTCTAACCCAATTTAGAATGCCTTCGTTTGGGAGGTCTATCAATGTTACGTCCTTGACAGAAACTTTAAAGTTCTGGATAATATTTTATTGTGACTCGGGGTTGGATTGAAGTTTATTAAGGTTTCCTACTTGACAGAGACTCTAAAGGTCTGAAGAACCGGAATACATCGAACACACAATCACGATTGTTATTTTCCAACATTGCAGGAAGTCACCAAACATGTCTATTTACGTCTAATTAGCGAGAAATTATATTGATAGTTTACTTTTATTATTGTTCCATCAAAGATTATAATGAATGAACGACTTATAAGCCATCTTAGTTAAAAAAACAAATCAAACACTCTCTTAATGATGTTTTTTCTTTACAACAAATACTAGCTTTGCATTACCAGTATTTGAATTAATCTTCTCAATATATTATAATGTTTTTGAAGATGACGCTTACTCTTCCGAAACACCAGTCTTCTCTTTGTATTTTTTCAGGAGTCTCCGCGCAAACATTTGTTTTGTTTATATGTTACAATTAATTAACTGTTTTTTAATTCAGTTTCTGATGACATGTCAGTATTAGCTTGCTTTTCTAAATCATAGTTTTTGTATTTTGGCTATTTCTACATACTGTATATTCCAAGAAATCTAAGGAATACATTACTTAAAGATGATTATAAAACACCTGTCACTTTTTAGGTAGTGTAGACTTAAAAAAATGATCAATTTGGATAGAATATGACCTCGAAAATAGTATTTATATATTACAAACTAACCAATGATGTTTTATTGTCGATAGCCAAGTGATAAGGAGTATATCATGCTAAATGCGAGTTCAATGTTTTCAGTAAGGAAATGATGTACATATCCTCCATTGTAATGTAGCATTGATAAGTAACAATGATAACAGTTATGGAATGTCAACTTGCAAAGAGCATAATATAATTTTTCATCATCGGAATTTTTTTTCAACAAGTATACCAATACTAGGATTTCTCATGATACTAGAATAAGAAAGAATCAAATAGGCAACAAGCGATATAAAGAAATATTTAATGGCAAAGTAAGAATTTATCAAGAAACATTCTGTCATATCAACTTGTCCCTCTAGTTATTTCATTGACCTTTCCCTCAAACTAACAATACTGTCACAAGAAAGTTGGGGAGATTCACATGTCATGTCAGATGAAATACTGGCAAATATCTGATGTCTACATAAACGAATTACAAATAAGATATACAAACGGTAATGTTATTGGGCCTTTACTAGTTCTCCCCGATGAAGTTATGAATTATGCTTTAGAAAAAAGGTAGATAAAAATATTAAACTTGATTACGCTGCAAAGATGTATGGATGTCAGCGCAGAATTATAACCAGTTTTGATCAATATCGATTATCAAAGAAATGCCGATGAATTGTAAATAAAATAAAAAGAAAAAATAAGTGTATCAGAATCATGTTCATCAACACATAGGTGAATATATATTCTTACCTTGGTCACGTCCAGATGTCTAGGTTTTGCTGATCCGGACGATGTTTAAGACTTTTGTACAAAGGCGCGATGATATTTATAGTCGTCCTTACATCGTCGTTACAAATATACAATATGTCACACAAGGAAAAATATATACAATCTACCACCACAAAGGTGAAACCATAAAAACACGGAAAATATGGAAAGTATTTCTTACTACGTTTCAGCAGTCCGTCTTCTGGATGACGTCACCGGAAATAAGATTTGTACTCTAATTTCAAATTAATCATCAAAGAATGTTCTATCACAAAGACGAACAGGTAGATTTTATCATCATGTGCGATAATCGTTTGATTTTACATTATAACTTATGTCTTTTTTGCATGATATACATTATCCATGTTTTTGTGATTGATAGGTTTTCACTTTATGTGCTGTGTCTTATGTCCAAACGTGACAAATAAACGCATTTGAAAAATGATAATAGGTAATTTATTAAAAGTAAACATCTTTTTGTGATTCTTAGAGTTTGATGCAGGTGCCAATTTTCTCTTCTTTTTGTAAATGTCGCAGTTGACCTTTCAATAATCGTTTCTTAGAATAATCTTCTATAACAGGTAATTCTTTTGCCATGCCTTAAAAGGATGACAAAGGTGTTTATTTAGACATTTAAAAGAAATCAAAATGAAAATGAGACTTATTAACTGGATGTTAGCTATGCACCGCATATCTTTTTTTTAATAAGGAATAACTGAAGAACTCAATTGTTATAGAAAGGCATTTTCCTCACAGATACCTTAGAAAGATTGATGAATTACTAATACTATGGAAGTTGCAATCTACCACAGGTAACGATATAGTATGCACAATTTGATGTTAATTTGCTGCAACTTACATTTATCTTCTTATTTCGATTAATATAAACAAGGATTGAACGCATGTTCTGTGAAAACTTTCATTTTCTGGTGCTTTTATTTGTGATATTCTGCCCCCACATAACCAACTTATTCATTTGTTCACAAATAATTCATCTGTTATATAATTTGCACGGTTATTTATGATTAAAATTGGATTCCGTAGGTACTTTTTAATAACCACGGATTTTTAACCACACAAAATTATATATAATATCCCTTGGCCTTAAGTTGACCTTAACCTTCAACTGTTCCTACTCTGTTTAATGAGTTAATTATAAGGAAAAATATTAATTCATTGTCGTAGGAGAATGGCTAACACTGCGCTCTCTAACTGACGTGTGGTCAAATAAATGATGTATTGTTTGCATAAAAAAGAATGTTATTTCCGTAAACGTATGGGGACTTTCTCAAATGTTCAAAACCATATATCATTCGTACAAAACCACCGAATGAAGGGATGTGAAAACGCCCTAATCTGTGCGATATTTTGATGATGTTTAAAAAGGTTACGATGATAAGTATAAAACAACTATTGCTAGATGTCTACACTACAAAGGCGGAAGTAACGTAGGCGTGATTTATCAGTATTTTTATCTTTCATTTGAACATTTATTTAATGACTACTAATAAATGAATGAATTAGAGAAAGTGGAACAATAGGTTGATATTGAAAGTGTGATTTTTTGTGCAATAGATAGGAAGTTGTGTTGAGTTTACCAATGTGAAAAGTAAGTCACCAACTGGAGGTGGCTATAATATTTGGACGTAGAAACAATGAGCCAAAACAGCACCCTATTCGAGGTGATCTCCACCTATTGTCCTCGCCTCACGTGCGATACCCAACATCTCTCCTATCCCACCCTCAACCAACATTCACGCTGTCTTTATACCTCCCTCTTTACATGCAAAACGTCCGCTTAAAAGTCTGTATTGTCAGTTAAATTATATAATGTGTACGGAGGCTAGTTCAGAATATATATGAAGATCAACTATCTTGTAACATGTAATTTTACATTTGTTGAATGACGAAACAGGTGTGAGTGAGAACATTTTCTATATTGATATCTAAAGGTTTCAATAAAAGTAGCATAAATAATTCATGATTGGTATTGATACTTTGTTAAACGTTTCCTCAACTCACCTCTTTTTAATATATTGATCGATGATAAAATCTATATATAATCTTGTATATCATTACATAGCTTATTTGATGTTGTCTTTGATTTGTGTTGTATACAAATTAATTTAAGCTCTAAATTTAAACATTTTAATAACTGCCTGTGATGTGGTTCCTTTTAACAGTGATATAAAGGTCTGAATCTGTTATATCTGTACACGGTAAAGTTTAAACACAATTTAATCGAAGCGTTACAAGTTTTTGTATAGAACCCATGAATCCTGTTGAATAAAGGTTATGTTTTATATGAAACACTCCAAGGTTATGTCTAGTAATACGTTTCTGTTATGAGCACTTACTCTCATATTCCAATATTACATTGTAAACCAGCTAATTCCAGAAATAAAAATTAAAACATCGTCAAAATTTTTGACCATTTTAAAATCAAGTTATTAGTATAGTTTTTCGACACACACTCCACGTCCATAAAATAAGAGGTTCTTCAACAACATTAATGCGTAATAGTCGGGTTGGTCGGATCTCAGCGGTAATAGTTCGCCTTCCATATGGCCGACCGGGCTCGATTCATAGATCGGCCGTGAAAAGGTAGAGGGTCCCCTGTCTGACTTCGCTGGTTTTTCCCGGGTACTCGGTTTTCCGCACACAGTAGGATTACTTGTGCGCTTATATCCAGGACATTAAGAGTAATAAGTATAAAACGAAATAATTAGTTAAGCAATTGTTGTAAATTGATAAGGATAATATAAAGATTGTATATATTACATATGTCTCTGCGTTGAATAACTATGCTAAGCGTCAATCTATAGATAAACCTAATTGCTACTTAGTTGTCTCACCTGACCCGAAAAGAAATGCCATCCACCAATCTAAGGTCACAAGGGTAAACTTTGTAAAAGCAACAAACGACCTATGCTGGCTAACGATCAATAATCAAGAGATGACGTTTAGATTCAAACAAATTTTGCAAAAAAGAAAAAACCTGAACCAGTCTTCGAGATCACAGAGATAAAATTAATTGATGCTTTCCACCAACTTCTGATTATTAACAGAGAAGTAAGGAACCTTTTGATCGTCCGAATGGCTATATTTGCCGTGTAAGCTGATAAACTTATGGTTGCAAAAATGACCTTGATCATATTCAAGTAACTGGGGTTAAAGTTGTTTAATAAAGCTTCAAATGGCTTCTTCTGATAAACATTAGGTATATAATCATATTGATATTAAGTGTTATAAACTGATAAAATAATCATTACGTTATAACAGTACTACGGTGAATACAAAGTTCATAAAGCATGACCATTTCGAGAACGTCTGATCATTTTTCAATAGAATTTGCTCCAAGGATGTTCAGTTTGAGTCTACTCCACAAAGTGTTGTATTCCGGAAGTTTGGGGTATGTGTAATGTTGAGCATGTTTCTTGGATGCTGGTTTCCACTGTTGAGAAGGTTTACAAGCATCAGCGATTCTCTGAAACAAAATATACATGTATATATATTAAAAGACAAATTGGATTTTTCGTTCTTGAAGATAAAGCGGAGGTTGCAGCCATTACTAAAACGGAGATACTGTAAAGTTTGCTGTTTCGATAAATTGTGGACCAAAACCCTCTCTCCTGGCAGAAAGCCATATATGACGAATCCAAGTTTAATACATTTATGTATATGTTGGTTTTCCACAATGCCCAACGTTAATGTTACAAGTATACGCACTCAATGTAGATAAACAAACAACTAGTTTGGTGATTATATTGAAATTAGAAGTTTTTCTTTTCAATCGTTGTCGTACTTGGTGGTGACAGTGAGTGAATAACAATTTTTTTTCATTAAAACACAACTGGCAAAGCGGCTAATTGGCAACATATGTGTGAATAGATAAAGAGACGAGATAATACGATTTGTCAAATTTCGATGCAAATTGATCATTAAAAGATCGGCGCAAATCGCTCATTTATTGTGTCGAGCTGAGAGCTTATTTTGTTTTATCTGTTACGCTTAAAACTCGATATTTCTAGATATTGCAATGAAGTGTGTTTATTGTCATTTTCCTTGATAATTTTACTTTAAGAATGATAAGCGAGGTATAATGTAGACGCATTGGTGATTCCGTCAGAATACTTTTAAACATCAAAACGTAGATAAGAATATATAATGTAGTTGTAGATTAGTAGATTTACCGACCTCTAAAAACGTACTCCCTTTACTGTTCCTATAGGCGACACAAGCCATCACCACGACCGGAACAAGTGGAACAACTCCTATCACTATTCCTACGGCAGTGGCGTAGGAGGGGTACTTATAGGCTCCGTAGGATGGGGCTTCATATGTACCAAACGCGAATACAAACACAAACTGAAACATCAGAAATTAGGTGTAAAATGTTATGTGTGATGAAAGCGACAAAGATTACCCATTGAAATACCATAATTATTTAGTGCTATTAAGAAAATGAGTTCGTATATAACACAACTCGAATTGTTGCCTTGCCATTTCTATAGCACTCAGATGAAATGTTATTCAGCTCTAGAGTGTTCTTTATATTTTCTCGAATTTCGTGGGGCTAATATTTCGCGACTGGACTGGTTGTGGCTTCTCTCGTTTTTTTAGCACAGCATGTCTAGATGCACTTCCCGAGTTGCTGATGAACTGTAGAAATATTTGTTATATGTACTTGATTTCGTGTTATCTTGGTCGTGTATAAAACGAATATCTCCAACCAGTACATTGTACGCACCAATAACGCAGCGGGTGCTACAAAAATGATGGCGATCCTCATTATGACAGGAATCCCAAAACCGATCATCATGGTGACGTCAAGAGAAAACCTTTCAGTTCCTAAATAAAAAAAAACAAATACTCAATTCGGATAATCCTATTTAGATAATCACTGTCTATGATATACATCTGTATTGACATAAAGAGTAAAGATTAGCCAAATAATAAACAGATATCAAATATAAGTTGTTACAATTCATAAACTGGAGACGATATTTTATCACTGCAATCGTAATTAATTCAACTGAGACAAAAATTCATCGTTTCTGTTTAAGGAAGAAATATCATTGTTGACTGACACCATCAAAATCAAAATATTTTATGTACCGTATATCCAGCCAATAATGAGCAGTTCTATGAATCCAAAAACCGGTATAGACAGACCAATGTACCAGTCCATTAGCTGGAATACGTACATACCGCCCTGAAATTGATATTTATATAAATAATAAAAATCATAAACAAGCAGTCATTTACAAATTTGCAGCACATTTCATTTTGCATTTTTTTAATTCTTTGTACTTGTGATTTCTGTCTTACCTGGGAACATAATACAAGCCCAAATATGCACCATATTAAACACACCAAGGCATGTATAATTGTTCTCTTCCTCCTCAGAGACGGAAACTGATCAAGCAAGGCTGTTACAATCGTCTCCATGTGTGAAAACTGAAATTTTAAAAATAAAGCTTAAATGGATACGAGGCAAGGGGTTAATTAGAGTTTTTTGTAATATAAATACGTAATCTGACACATTTATCGCCAATTCAAATCTTGAACCAATTAAAAAGAAACATAAATGTCTTCTATTAGGCTCACATCTATAGCGTACATTTTTATTGGAGATAAATTTTCGTTTCAAAATTGCCTAAAGATTTAAAGCGTATTTTTAGTGTATTCGTGATTTGATTAAGAAAAATTCATGGAAAATTTACCTTTTATCTAAAGCACACGTTTTTCAAATCGTTATCAAGCATATTTGTCGAGATGTAAAAAAATCGACAACCTATGGATAAAAATATGGCGTTGTATGCTTTTGCAGCGACAAACATCTTTTACATCTCGTAATATAGATCATGTTATAACTTTGTGATAACAATCACGAAATGATTTATATACATTTTATTTCGTTTAAGTAAATCGTCATTTCGTTAAATGTTAGCCAAAGTTTACTACCTGTGTATCCAGTCCAATACTTAGTAGCATCAGGAAGAATATAACAGACCATAAATTTGGCAACGGAAGTTGAGCGAGTGCTTCAGGATAGGCCATAAAGACCAGTCCTGGTCCTGTAATATATCAAAGAAAACAAGAAATTACCAGTATATTGGAACATTCACACTTTGGCACTTTGCCAATACAAAAATACTGTAAACGTAGAAATTTACGCGTGGATGAAATTTACAACAAATACGCGTTAGTCGTGCAAATTTCACCAACACAGTTGGTTTTCAATTGTTCATCTTATATATCATTTCGACACCTCGTAGTAAAGTATACATACATTTATTGAATATGAACGTTACTTAGAATTAACACATTGTCGCACATTTAGTTACATGTATGCACTTGTATACCGGTCGAATTCATATAAAGACATTGAGAGAAGATCGTGTTACGCACTGAAGCTGAGAAACAAAACGTTTTCTGGATAATTAAAAGCTCGCAATACGTTATTTTATCAAGTGCATTACGGAGTCAACATGAAGCTGAATAATGGTTTTGCGATCTGGGTTTTGGCCCCCGATTTCCTTTAAAAGTTGAAAAAAAAAGCTTTTTAAAATGTAAACATTTCGTATTTTTTCATAGGTTGATATTATCACTCGACTGACGTAGAATTGTGTACAACATATAACGAAGCTTAAAGCTGATAATTTTAAGTCATTTTAACCATGTCCTCGATTTACATAACTAGATACGTTATGTATATTATAAAGCTGAATCACACAATGATGATCCTAGATATATAAATATAGTCAAATATAGTCAAATAGTTATACATATGTAAATTTCGTTTGGAAATTGGTTTATTTCATCATTGTGATGCATTACTAGTTTGAAAACACCAACATATCCTGGCTGACCGCTCTACGTAGAGACTCTGAGTGAACAAGGAAATTTAAATAATTTGTGAACGATAAGTTTCTTACTTTATTAAATATGTATTGTCAGGCTTGTATACACAAAGATATAAGTTCAAATCTTTAACGTCTTACAATATGTGTTTACATTTACTACATATCACGATGTAGATAGCTGTATTGCTACTGGTTCTACAGCATACGTCCATGTGAACTACTCGTTTGGTTAATACAGTGACCTAATTTGAAGATACGGGAACATGAAATGGTGAGATGATTAAAAAGAACTTGGGTCATATTTTAAACAAGGTAGGATGACACAGCGGTTTACTGTATTTACAATATTTACACAGCCCGCAACTGAGTACAGGAAATAAGGATGCACTTTCAAAATTAAAAGTGTTTGCTTCGTATCAAGTAAACCATCATTATAAGTCAATGTTTCAATCAAATTTTCCTTAAATCACTCTTTATTAAATAAATCTGTATCCATTTTTTATTTAGAGATGAGCAATTTTTTCATATAAGTTCAACTGGAAGAATTTAATTCAACAGTTGAAATGATCTTCAGTCCAAGAAAATCAGAATCATGTGATAATATTTTGCCGGTATTTTTGAATCCGAGAGAGTCTTCATCCTTCAAAAGAATTCAAGGTATCCAATATCTTCAGAATTCAAGTTCTCCTTGTTTAGAAGCAATAACCGAGGGATGCTGTTAATTCGCATGTTCTGCTTACTCATTTACTGTATACTTTTCAAAACAAATTTAAAATTCACTACTGAAATTCGGAATCCTTTAACTTATTTCATAAATGTTTTCCCTACATAATGAGATGAAGAAACTGAAATATTTATATTAGAAGTTTGAAAACCGGGTATTAAGACTAATCTAGAAAACCTACCGAGCTACCACGCCCTTAGACCCTATGATGAAGGGGACATTTTGTCAATAAAAGGTTAGGTTTTCTAAGCATACTCAAGTTGAACGAAAGATACATGTAACATCAGGCACATGCCCACTGTGACACGTATAACTTCATGTAATAGCCCGTTATATTTTAGGTCTTTAAACATAACACGACGTGCCAGATTTCACTTGATTTATATCGAAGCCATAAACGATGATTATGATAGATAATTTAACCCCAATATTATTTTGTTTAGATTCAAATTAGAGAAGTAAAATAATATCTTAATTGGATAAGTTGGATAACCTATGTGTGAATGTCCATCTCGCAATTAAAATCGTGACTTCTTTCAACATTTAAGCATGACTTATTATGACGTTATGCTGTATTTTGTACTTTGTCTGAAGTAGTTTTTGTTCAAAGATTTAGTTTCATTGAATATGATTCAATATTTAAGATGTCTCTATTTGATATTTGATACATTAGGTCATGGCATTAGGTCAGTGTCACAAAAACAAGATGAAAAATCTGATATATTTTCATGTACATATAGTTAGTGAAGAAATAGGCTGACCCATTGAAAGGAAAGGTGAAGTTATAACACACTATTCCAAAATATTTACATTGCATTTAAATGCGCGATGCTTGTTTACATCCCTAGATTTTATGTAAACGTGATTTAAATGTGAAGCGACTTGTAATACATATGGATGTAATGTTACATGATAAATCTATTTGCCAAACAATATCAGTTGAAACATTGAAACTATTCTAATGCTAAGTATGATCAATGACACCCAAGTGGCGCCATCTACTGCTTCCGGTATAATGACATGAGCTCTGACGTTGTATAAAAATTGTTTCTTTTAAAGTGTTTAATGAAAATCTGTTGTTATAAATGTTAAAAGAAGCATTTTATTATTTAGGTAAATTATTCAGAGTAGGGTGTATTAAGAACGACCTGGGTAACTATAGAACCCCGAATTTAGCCGGTGAATATGTAGATATCCGGAAGATGCATATATTATACGATAGGATCTGGTAACGGAAAAACCAAAGATTGAACAGTATCCAGTACTAGATAATTAACATCCAATCTTCCTTAATTAAGAATTAGGAAAAGAACAATTATTAATATTATTATCATTTATTATTACTATGTTTTTTGTTTGTTTCTACAATTTGAACAGAATATATACATTTATGAAAAACTAGAAATTAAGCCTCAAAGTAAAAGACTTTTCTCTGGAGTTCATGCGAGCATAGTATTCTGGGCAAATCATATATATGTATAAAATCCTTACCTGACGTAACAACTTCCGGTATCGTCATTCCAGTTTTCTCAGCCATGAAGCCAATCACAGCAAATACCACGAATCCACCAAATATGCTGGTTCCTTCACATATAAATGTCAACAGGATGGAATCTCTACCAAGTGAGAGAAAACTTATCACTTTTTGTTCCCTTTTTCACGTTTATTCACAATACATTACCACACTTGCTTGATTTCGTTTCTCCCATTTCCAACAAAACTATTGAAACCAACGCAAATGAAAAAAAAAAAAAATGAAAGGGAGAAAAGAGGTTTCCTAACATAAACAATGAAAACAGAGTTTTTTGTAATAAAACATATTTCCAAAAGTGAGTTCTGGACGAAAGGACACTTACCTGTAAAAATTGTTATTGAATTTGTTATAACTTGCCAATGTGATAATTGGCCCCCAGGCAGGACAGAGAGAGTAGAACACTTGCAGTGCAGCCTCTAGCCATACCTTGGAATAGAAAAGCTATGCTATGCAGAATCTTCTAGAATTTGTTAACACTAACCTAAAATGAAATCGATACCTTTTTTATACGATTGATACGCCAGGCACCTTTTTTTCAAACTTCGTATATCGATCTGGGCTGATTTTTTTATCATGATTTTATTTTCATAAAAATGATTTTTAAATATCCTATCTGACTTTAAATATCTCAAGTAAGTTTTTTGTCATATTCACATTTCATATCATTCATATGTCATATTATTTGATAATCATAAGAATTAACAATTTGTTCTAATACCTGCAAATCTCCTAGCCGTTGGAACTGTGGGGTGATATAAAATAGTATTCCATCTTTGGCCCCAGGTAAAAGTAATGCCCTGATTAATAGTACAGTAAGGAGTATATACGGAAGGACAGCGGTGACATAAACCACCTGTAATGTAACACTAATAGAAGTATAAAACATGTAGGATTTTAACATACGATTCAAACGAAACGTAAAATACATATTATACCAAAATGAAGGAACACTGAATATGAAATTCGGAAGAGACACGATTTTTCTTATCAGTCATTGATACAGCCGGCATCAAGCTGTAACCTATGATTTATTGAATTATGGGGCTTGTGAACCTTTCCATCTAGATTTTGATATTTCTGTCGATCAATTTTTATTTCACCCCTAGGTGAATAGACTAGACCTTGAAGTACGAAACACTTTGCTCTGCTGTATCTAATTTTCACTTTATACTTAAATATGCTATTGGCTTGTGTGCAAATCTTCCATAAATTGCATCAGGTTCTATCTCAATGATTTTAAATGAATATGTGTATTTTCCTACAATGAATTCAAATTGGCATTAATTGCATCAGCAATATCTATCACCGACCACCGCAAAACTTGTGGAAAAATTAAAACCGAATGTGCACATTGATAAGGTTATACCACAATTACCTTTCCAGAAGACCGTATACCCTTCACAAGACAAAGAAAGAGAATGATCCACGCAGCTAGATAACAAACTGCCAGATGCCAAGGAATTCCTCCTATCTCGTGTAAACCAGAAGATATCTCCAGAAGGCCACGTCTGGCGAAAAGATGGAATTACATTTATTTATTTACATGCTCATTAATTCGTGTTTGTTTTTCTATTTCTTGAATGAAATATTCTTATATTCAAACATTTTTTGTTCTCTTTAAGCAAGTGATGTAAAATATTCAGCTATGTTCTTTAATACAACTTACCGAGACTACATTTGGACTTTTTTTTACCTGTGCTGAAAAGTTTGTTCACTTAACCATAGTTATAAGCTTACCTTGTTTCAATTATTAATATCTTCTAGGAAAATATATCAATTGTTTAAAACTTAAAATCAAAAGGGTAAAAATGTATGTGTTTTTTTTTTATCTGAAAGTTTTGACATTTGACCTTATTGAACATACAAACCAAGCATATCTTATTCATTGAGAAAAAGCATTTATAAGTAAGAGATTGAACTTGCTGCCAAAATTCCTCTTCAGAAGTAAATCTCTTCATTGAGGTAGCTGATAGATTTCCGAAATTTTCTGCCGAGCCGGAAATGTTGGTCAGTCCTTTTCCGGTAGTATTAATGCCAGACGTCGGGTGTCCATATTCCGTAACGTTTGATGATGAAATGACCTGCACCAGCAAGCTCCTTTCTGTTATACAGTTGTCGGTATTCCATTTGTTGTCACATGTCCGCCATGGTAGAGGGCTGAGAAAACTGTTACCCAGATAAAACAGAGTCCAGGCGATGATGATAGTGTAGTAGGAGCTAATTATCACAAGAACTAGCAGCACACCCGCACCAATACCTTTAACATACACATGTTACAAATATGATATGAATGCAAGTTACTGCAAAAAGTGTAAATCTTCGCGATCATTAATTTGCCGCGTTTAATGCGTCAATAGATAAGAACAAAAAAATCAAAAAGGCGAATAGTTTGATGACTATGTACACATCGTTTCGACACAATTTTCAGACCGCTGAAATATTGAAAGATCCACTTAAATGTTCACATCGAGAATTTTTCCACATGCAAAACACAAATATCTATTTGAGCAATATGACACAGAGGAAGACAGAGGTAGATAACTTAAATTCAAAACGTGGAAAAATATTATCAAAGAAAGTCCCGCGAGTGTTCCTGATGAAGATATGTTGTTCTTAGTAATATGTATCAATGGACAAAATACAATGAAATCGGTAAATACGGGGTTTTTATAATTATATTATCTTGTTACCAGATCGCATTTTGTTTGTAATTTGTTAATTGGTTATATCATTGAACTGGGAAGGAAAATGAATTTGATATTATTATCAGTATAACGAGGCAGATATTCAAATTGTACATTGCCAATAATAAATTCCCCTGTTTAGAGTAATCTAAACAGTTTAAATGTATTGAGTCCTATCTTAATTCCTAATGCACAGGTAATGTATTAAAACGGTAATTGACTAACAGACGAATATTTGAGCAAGTTTAGATTATATAATTTTTTTATCATTGTTACTAATGCATGATTTTGGTATATGTAATGACGATGCATGGATTTACAAACATAAAGTTATGTACCTTTATTCAACAAAGGTGTTGAAAATCTGGTTAATTTAGGTGTCCGTTGTTTCTTTTCTTTTTTATAATTGAAATAATTGAAATATAAAGGCTAAGTTAAAAACCTGGTTATTTTTTGTGTTATTTCTGAATAAGTGTTTTATGTGAAGAAACATACATGTAATACTGAAACATCAGGAGTTGTTTCTCTCAATATATCCCGTTGACATTCTCCTAAAAGTTGAAAGTTTTATGAAGCGGTCTATAGCCTTACCTGTAATTATCTCCTATAGTTCTACCTTTCACACCTAGTCTCACTTTGCACAAAAATACCTTACCTGTATACCTCAAAATGCAGAATGTTGGCTAAGTGAGAAGATACCATTTTAGACACGCAAACTTTTACCTTTCAGCAGAGGACACAACTCCCAGGCATGTAGGGCTGTTCGGCCAGTAAACTGACCAATGGCCATATCGACAAAGTACATAGGCAGTCCACATATTATAAGGAAGACCAGAAAAGCAATCAGGAAACTTCCTGTAAAAGTTTAAAAATAGGAAATTAAATTACGATAAATGGAAAAGGTATGGGGTCACCTGTCTGTCACATGTTTTTTTTTTATCTTGCACTCTGGTGTCCTTTAGTAAGACCCCTCTGTGGCGCGCTTTTATTCGGCACTACAAGTTTAACTTGCTATAAAATTGTTTGGATATAAATAAATTCAATGATATTAATAAGTTAATTAAATATTTAATTAAATGATTAATAGAAATAAATAATATCGCATTTAGTATTAGTGATATCCTTGTAATCTTCAGCACAAAATTTGATACCAAGATATTTCATCATAAATAAGCGTGAAGTTGTGAAGCCCCTTATCGTATAAAATTGAATAAAAATGAAAATGGAACTTTATTTTTCAACTTCATGAATCAATTGTATTGTATTGTTTATTTACTGTAAGCCTTACAAATATTTTAACAGTTAAATACATAAGAACACTATATGTACATGTATGATATAAGGCTAATATAACACAGGTAACATTACGTCTAAAGGAATTTAAAAGTCATCTACACCTGGCACTAAACCAGGGCTATTGAACTCGACGCTCTTTTTATTGACAGATATTGACATTACGTATGACGCCGGTAGCGGAAAAAAGATTGCAACTCTTTTGTCGAAGTGTATCGTTATTCCAAATGTGTGTCGAGGCGATATGGAAATTAACGCATTGCAGGTAATTTATGTATAGCGTCTTTCGACTGAACGAACACGCATTGAATGGACCCTTCACAACATCAACATCAGAGAACTACCTTAATTATGTTGTACATAATGTGTCACCATAACTCACGCTTCATAGTTAGTCCCCGTTCTAGAGCCTTGCATGTATCGACTCGTTAAAAAAGGCGTGGGTTCTCTGACAGGTATGTATGCAAACATTTTTCATGTAAAGTGAATAATGATCAAAACCACAAGTACAGCCCACATTGATTTTCTACATATCACATTCATTAATGTACTTGATTTTTGCTTTCGACACAGTTGCATATGGATGAAATCTAAACAGCTGTGTTGTCCCTGTTTTTGGTCCTAACATGACCAATATCTTTAACTCACATGGAAACAAACTGACCACAATGGACATTGGGCAAGTCATTATGATCGTCGTAAAACTTTCATTTGGAAGGAAATTTTTCACGACCTAAGCAAGCATGTGATTTAATGATTTGTTTGTTGTCAAGTCAGCATTGTTTTTATTACCTCAGAACAAGCTAGTTTTGTAATAAATCACATTTAAGATCTGCCAATGTGTGAAAGATTATCTTTCATCTAACTTACATACAAGTATTTACTCCACTTACATGTCATAAAAGATTTATTAATAAAACAATTTATTTAAGGGAGCCTCTTGCATACTTGAATGCAACACTTGTAACAAGTTCCTTAAACCATATAAGAAATAGAAGTTAATTCAGCATGCTTTCATCACGTGATTATTTCAGAAACCATGCCATTCATTTGGTCTCCATTTTGGTGTCATGACCGTTGTCCGCTTGTACATAACCTCATTGTATTATACGTGTGTATTCAAAAAGAACGTGCAACGTAAATATATCCCATCGCTTTACAGACGTCAAATTACCTTTGCTATTATACATAGATGACTGTTTTTGTTATCAATTTTCTTATACAGATAATTACAGAAAGTTTTCACTAACGCGAATTAAGAGTTGACGAATGTCCGCGACCTTTTGTTATTGTCTTTCTTTTTTAAAAATATTATCTCGCACGTGCAAAAGAATAATGTTTTATAACAGACCCTGATGTGTCGCCGCATGTATGAGAAATTACAAAGTGTTATTATCATATAACCTCAAGTGTGAAATGTTCTATAGTTACTGAAACTTTGTGTTCACAAATACACATAGCTGATAGTGAACAATAAAAATTATATTTTGAACAAAAAAGTGATGAGTTAATATCGTGAACTGTAAGGACAAATTTGTATAGTTTTTCGACCAAGTTAAAATGTACAATAGGTATTTATTAAGTAACCCGGCCCGTAATCGCTAATTACGTTTTGGTCACGAAAAGAAATAGACAATCACACGACGTCGCGTACAATCGTCAGTGCTAATTGAAACGTTCAGTAATTGTGTTAGAAATTTGACAGTTAAAAGAACCTTTCCACAATTATAAATGTAAAGGTGTAGCGAATAGACATATGTATGTTTCACGTTTTTATTGAAAAAAAAATGAAATGTTGTTTTCCTTAAGGACTTAATTGATACATCAATTATTGTGACACTTAGATGGAAGGTAATGAACTGACGTCATGTACACGCGATTACGGTCATGACATCAAAATGGAGACTGTATATATATAGAAATCTAGTACAGCCCCACACTTTCACACTTTGATTTTTTTTTATTAAAGTGATTTATTTCACAAATAATTTGTGATTATGTATAAAAACCTATTAATGCTACAGTGACGTCATACAAATTAGTACGTCACATGCTTGTTAAGGTCGTGAGTTTCCCACCAGATGAAATTTTACCTTTTTTTCAAATTGTCAACAGCCGATGACCATTGAAGTTCTTTTATTTCTTATTGAATTAAAGAAGTCGATAATATCACAATAAAAAAAAAACACTGCGACACAGTTGTTAAGATTTCAATAACATACAATTTTGTCGAAACCGTGAATCAAGTACTAGTATGTGATTTGAAGAACATCGAAGCGGCCTTTAGGTTTTACATTATTCAATAGTTAAACAATGAAACATTTATATGTTCTTCTAAATAAACCCTTTTTATTCTGACATGTCTGAATTGCTCCAATAAATATTTTGAAACCTTAATATTCTGACACTTTGATAAAATCAAAACCGAAGTATCTGACTTTTTGCTTTATCTCTGAAACCCCAGCGTTACTTTTTTCACACGTAGAAGACATTTCAATGACAAGACATTGCTCTGTGTCCCCTTAACAAATGTACACAGAGTGACTTAAGGATATTTTGACTGAAGCGAGACAGAGCACGCGAGGACGTACGTAAACAGGGATAAGTCAATACACCAGCGCTATTTGGATTTATCAGCGTCGGAGAGAAATTTTACTTCTTATATCTTGAAAGACATCAGAGCTATTTTTAACTCAGATTCAAATGTCGTATTTATTTGTTTATCCAATACGAGTTTGTTTGTCAACAAGTAATGATAACACTTCGTAACAACTAACTATAGCATATTTGAATTGTTGTATTCAAATCTAATTTCGTTTATGAACTGTATCGCTTTTATTTGTATTCTGGAAATTATAAGTATACAGTTTTACAGGTCATTATTTGTGCTACATTGATGAAATGTGATTTTGTGGGTTCAAGATGTAGAAACCACAATGTACGGAGAACAAATTTTGAGCTCAGGGTACATAAAAGAGTATGGAGAATGTAGGTTTGGGTACAAAGTACGGGGTACAAATCGTAGAGCACGGGGAACGCTGTATGGAGTATTGGGTACAGGATGCAGAACAGAGTGGGGAGTCGAGATTTGGCTACGTAGCACAGATCACATAGTACGGAGAACGAGGAAAGGAATATTGGGTACAGGATGCAGAACAGAGTGGGGAGTTGGGATTTGGCTACGTAGTACAGATCACATAGTACGGGGAACGAGGAAAGTAATATTGGGTACAGGATGCAGAACACAGAGTATGGGGAGTGGAGATCATAGAGAACGGGGAATGGAGAATTGATTACAGGATGTAGAACACAGAGTATGGGGAGTGGACATTTGGGTACAAAGTACGAGATAAAGAACATAGAGTACGGAGACGGGGAATGGAGTATTGGGTACAGGTACAGAACACAGAGTATGGAGAGTGGAGATCATAGAGAACGGGGAATGGAGAATTGATTACAGGATGTAGAACACAGAGTATGGGGAGTGGACATTTGGGTACAAAGTACGAGATAAAGAACAGAGTACGGAGACGGGGAATGGAGTGTTGGGTACAGGTACAGAACACAGAGTATGGAGAGTGGAGATTTGGGTACAAAGTACTCGATAAAGATCAGAGAGTACGAGGACGGTGGATGGAGTATTGGGTATAGAAAATAGAGTACAAAGGATAGAGGTTTTAGCACATATTACTGGGTACAGGGTACATGTTTTTTGGCAGAGTGCAGGGAATAGAGTTTTGGCTAGAGGATTCCTACACAGAGTGCAAAGAATGGCGTTTTGGACGCAGAATACAGATCATAGAGCGCGAGAACTGGGAATTGAGTATTTGTGAACAGTTTCTATGGTAAAGGACAGTGCTCGGTACAGACAAAGATTACAGGGTATATAATACTATAAAATAGTATAGAAAAAAGGGTACGGAATATGGGAATCTGCTTACGGGACACTTGGTATAGACTACAGAAAAAGGTACAATTACAGATCGGGTGTACGAACCACAAAGCACGGGATAGGAGAACATGGTATACTGTGTGATGTTCGGAATACAGGGAGAAGAATGTAACGGGATTATATATATGAATATATATCTAGGCGAAGTACTTGTACATTTAAAATCACAAAATATATAAATAAAATAAGATAAAGCATATGTCATAAGAGACAGAATTTTCGTTATTATCAATACAGGGGATAAATCTTATCTTTTTCCGATGAAAACAAAAACAAAAACAAACAAAAAAACAATAGAAAGTCGATAAAATGAAAACATTACCTCCACCATTCCTCATGCAGAAGTAGGGAAACCGCCATATATTGCCCAGCCCTACACAATATCCTATCAATGAGAGTAATGATTCGGCCTTATTAGACCAAAATTCGCGCTCACTACCAACTTCAGCCTCAGGAAAGTCTGTGAGAGGATCATTTTCACATTTTTCCATTTCATCAAGTTCTTTCGATTCCGTTTTAAGGGTTTGCATGTTCTTACAGTTTGGTGTGAAATTTCACCTGCCACTGACTTACTGAGCTCCCAGTGTAAGTACATACGCGAATGGTTGGATTTAAGTGCATTCGGTTTAAATATAATGTATTTGGTCATTTAAATCGATAAAGCGAGGGTAGGAAATTAATAATCCACGTTCCCTTTCGTAGATCTTCAGAAAAAAAAATAATAGAAAATGTAAAATTATATTTTATGATAAGTCACTACACTTTAAATACCCTTTATATGTTTCTAAAGAGTTAAGGTGCATAATAGGCTACATCGCTACATCGGAGAGTGATCACACTGCAGTCTGTATGTTAACAAGAGGCCCGAAGGCCCTGTATCACTCACCTGGTTGTACTAAAACCAAACTATAGGAAAAGAATTCTAAAGATTTGCAAGCAGGAGGAGAAGGATTAGGGACAATGTATTCTATTTCCTCGATTGGGCCCATTCCTCCTGCCCTGGGGCCGAGACCAACCGTTTATACAAATTGATTCCTCTTTCACCCAACAATGCTTAACATCAAATTTGGGCAAAATTCAATTAATACTACAGGAGGAGCAGGCTTTTTAGAGAATGTGCTCTATTTTTCCTATTGGGCCGCGTTCCTCCTGCCCTAGGGGCCGAGACCCATTATTAATGACTCCACTTCACTCATTGATAAACATTGGTTTTTTAAAACGCAGAAACACAGAGGTGGCTTTTCCTAACACTTGTTGGTCAATGAGGAATAGTTCTTGGCAATCTCTTTATATCTAAAGTCAGAAAATTTCCCTTTGAATAATCGTATAGAGCCTAGTGAATCAGTGTCAAAAAAGAGTTCAAGCTATAACTGAATGAATTTTATACTGTTTCTTGTACGTACATATCATTGTTATTTCGAATAGAATTTCAGCATTTAAATATAAATGTTACAAGCACGACAAAACCTACTCATATCCCATTCAAAAGACACACAAAAACCTAAATATTTCGATTTTCGCAATAGTATCAGAAGAGTACATCATATATAAATATTTTATACTTCGCAACAATGTGGTAAATAAATGTACTAATCCAGTTAGAGTTAGTGCTTAGTAAAGGTACGAATCCAGTTAGTGTGAGTGCTTAGTAAAGGTACCAATCCAGTTAGTGTGTGCTTAGTAAAGGTACCAATCCAGTTAGTGTGAGTGCTTAGTAAAGGTACCAATCCAGTTAGTGTGAGTGCTTAGTAAAGGTACCAATCCAGTTAGTGTGAGTGCTAAGTAAAGGTACCATCCCAGTTAGAGCGAGTGTTTAATAAAGGTACCAAACCAGTTAGTGTGAGTGCTTAGTAAAGGTACCAATCCAGTTAGAGTGCTTAGTAAAGGTACCAATCCAGTTAGTGTGAGTGCTTAGTAAAGGTACCAATCCAGTTAGAGTGAGTGCTTAGTAAAGGTACCAATCCAGTTAGTGTGTGCTTAGTAAAGGTACCAATCCAGTTAGTGTGAGTGCTTAGTAAAGGTACCAATCCAGTTACAGAGAGAGTGCTTAGTAAAGGTACCAATCCAGTTAGAGAGAGTGCTTAGTAAAGGTACCAATCCCGTTAGTGTGTGCTTAGTAAAGGTACCAATCCAGTTAGTAAGAGTGCTTAGTAAAGGTACCAATCCAGTTACAGAGAGAGTGCTTAGTAAAGGTACCAATCCAGTTAGAGAGAGTGCTTAGTAAAGGTACCAATCCCGTTAGTGTGTGCTTAGTAAAGGTACCAATCCAGTTAGTGTGAGTTCTAAGTAAAGGTACCATCCCAGTTAGAGCGAGTGCTTAATAAAGGTACCAATCCAGTTAGAGTGCTTAGTAAAGGTACCAATCCAGTTAGTGTGAGTGCTTAGTAAAGGTACCAATCCAGTTAGTGCGGGTGCTTAATAAAGGTACCAAACCAGTTAGTGTGAGTGCTTAGTAAAGGTACCAATCCAGTAAGTGTGAGTGCTAAGTAAATGTACCAGCCCAGTTAGAGTGAGTGCTTAATAAAGGTACCAATCCAGTTAGTGTGAGTGCTTAGTAAAGGTACCAATCCAGTTAGAGTGCTTAGTAAAGGTACCAATCCAGTAAGAGAGGATGCTTAGTACACGTACCAATCCAGTTAGAGTGCTTAGTAAAGGTACCAATCCAGTTAGTGTGAGTGTTAAGTAAAGGTACCAATCCAGTTAGTGTGAGTGTTAAGTAAAGGTACCAATCCAGTTAGTGTGAATGCTTAGTAAAGGTACCAATCCAGTTAGTGTGAGTGCTTAGTAAAGGTACCAATCCAGTTAGTGTGAGTGCTTAGTAAAGGTACTAATCCAGTTACAGAGAGAGTGCTTAGTAAAGGTACCAATCCAGTTAGTGTGAGTGCTTAGTAAAGGTACTAATCCAGTTACAGAGAGAGTGCTTAGTAAAGGTACCAATCCAGTAAGTGTGAGTGCTAAGTAAAGGTACCAATCCAGTTAGTGTGAGTGCTTAGTAAAGGTACCAATCCACTTAGTGTGAGTGCTTAGTAAAGGTACCAATCCAGTTAGTGAGTGCTTAGTAAAGGTACCAATCCACTTAGTGTGAGTGCTTAGTAAAGGTACTAATCCGGTTAGTGTGAGTGCTTAGTAAAGGTACCAATCCAGTTAGTGTGAGTGCTTAGTAAAGGTACTAATCCAGTTACAGAGGAAGTGCTTAGTAAAGGTACCAATCCAGTTAGTGTGAGTGCTTAGTAAAGGTACTAATCCAGTTACAGAGAGAGTGCTTAGTAAAGGTACCAATCCAGTAAGTGTGAGTGCTAAGTAAAGGTACCAATCCAGTTAGTGTGAGTGCTTAGTAAAGGTACCAATCCAGTAAGTGTGAGTGTTAAGTAAAGGTACCAATCCACTTAGTGTGAGTGCTTAGTAAAGGTACCAATCCAGTAAGTGTGAGTGTTAAGTAAAGGTACCAATCCACTTAGTGTGAGTGCTTAGTAAAGGTACCAATCCAGTTAGTGTGAGTGTTAAGTAAAGGTACCAATCCAGTTAGTGTGAGTGTTAAGTAAAGGTACCAATCCACTTAGTGTGAGTGCTAAGTAAAGGTACCAATCCAGTTAGTGTGAGTGTTAAGTAAAGGTACCAATCCAGTTAGTGTGAGTGTTAAGTAAAGGTACCAATCCAGTTAGTGTGAGTGTTAAGTAAAGGTACCAATCCAGTTAGTGTGAGTGCTTAGTAAAGGTACCAATCCAGTTACAGAGAGAGTGCTTAGTAAAGGTACCAATCCAGTAAGTGTGAGTGCTAAGTAAAGGTACCAATCCAGTTAGTGTGAGTGCTTAGTAAAGGTACCAATCCAGTTAGTGTGAGTGTTAAGTAAAGGTACCAATCCAGTTAGTGTGAGTGTTAAGTAAAGGTACCAATCCAGTAAGTGTGAGTGTTAAGTAAAGGTACTAATCCAGTTAGTGTGAGTGCTTAGTAAAGGTACCAATCCAGTAAGTGTGAGTGCTAAGTAAAGGTACCAATCCAGTTAGTGTGAGTGTTAAGTAAAGGTACCAATCCAGTTAGTGTGAGTGTTAAGTAAAGGTACCAATCCAGTTAGTGTGAGTGCTAAGTAAAGGTACTAATCCAGTTAGTGTGAGTGTTAAGTAAAGGTACCAATCCAGTTAGTGTGAGTGTTAAGTAAAGGTACCAATCCAGTTAGTGTGAGTGCTTAGTAAAGGTACTAATCCAGTTAGTGTGAGTGTTAAGTAAAGGTACTAATCCAGTTAGTGTGAGTGCTAAGTAAAGGTACCAGCCCAGTTAGTGAGAGTGTTAAGTAAAGAAGCTAAGTTCAGGAAAAAAAGAAATAGTAAACTTACTCTTTTGAATCCACTTGCCATCATGAAATTTGAGAGCTTACAACTGAGCCATCAGACTACTTTTATAAAGTTCTGTGTACATATATGGAAACGGAAGTTGTGTTGTGTGTATTTTTAATATCAGTTAATTGGTATCTTAGTATGGAGGAAAAAATATTCCTAAAAGTTGTTAAAACTCTCAACATCATCATCCAAAGTGAAAGTATCAAAGCGAGGTCATTAAGACAGGAGAAGAGTTCTAATGAATCTGTACCACTTCCCTGTTACTTATCTAATTTGTGTAAATATCAAGCACATTCACCTTAACAGGATCCTATTTAGGAAAGAATTTTATACTACGGTACATTTTAGCAAGGAAATTCATTGACATGATTTTCAAGATTAGTGTAGGGTTTTGACATGAATTAAAATACAGTTTAAAATAAATATCCCTTCATACATATCTAGATATGAAGGTTCCTCATGGTGACCATGAAAATTCATTTATAACCGGGAAAGCAAATGGCTAAATGTCATGACCTTTTTTATCTTCCTTATTTTGGTGAAGTCTACTTTGACAGACATTTTAACACATTTTAAACTTTAGCAGAATACTTGTAATATCATGACTCTAGATATTTCATCCTGATCTCACAGAGTTACTTCCCTTTGTTTCACATTACAATAAGCTTGACAGCTGATAGGGGGCCAGAATGAGATGAATCACTTTCTTCTTTCAAAGCTGAAAAGGTTGACCTAGCATTTTAATGCACACCTATATACTATGGTACATTAAATATTTACAATGATGAAAAATATGTATCATCAGTTTAAAATTGGTTTGATAATGATTGCAGGTGGAAAGTCTTTCCGAAATCTGTTGAGACTTGCCATTAATAAGAATAACACTCACAAATATTTCTTCACTTAATGATGTTTTTTTGTTTTTACTTATTAATATACACAAAACAATGATAAAGGTGAGTATTATGCAACATTTAAAACATTTTTCATTTAAATAAAATAGAGAAAAAGTTTTTTGACATATATAATCATACACTTAAAAATACTACCTTGTACAAATAAATTATACACAGACAGGAATTCAGGACAATGTATATACTGTATACATCACTGACACTTAGAACAGATAATGAGATACATGATTTTTTTCTTCATATAAACACTGGTAATGTGGTAACAGAATAAGAAATAACATCTATTGTGTTAACAAATACAAGTAAAACCAACATGGATATACATGTATGTAAAATAACCTTTGAAGATCTGATGAACTTAATTGATTATGAAATTAATGTTATATCTCTTCTAACATCTTGATGAGAGGTCACCTAAATGGCAACCTGTCAGTCATTTATTTCATTCTTCTTATCTGTCAAAAAAGTTTGAAAGCACAGAAGACTTCTACTGTAATGAAAACTGCTTAATGCAAATTTAATTCTGAAGCAATATTGGTCGTATAATCTTAAAATATTAAGAAAATATATCTGATGAGAATTTAACTCCTTAACATCAATTTGATTTTACTCTCACAGGAAAAAATAATAAGGAATACCAGAGATCATAATCCAACGACTGAATGTCTAACAAAAACATCTGTTAATAAAAATAAATTCTGACAGCATGGTAATGATTTCAAAATGAAAACATTGTCTTTATATAAAGACTAGACAATAATCATTGGAGTCTAGCTAGATAAATAGATGACAGGATTAGTTTAAAAAGTGATTACACAATACAAGTATTAAAATCACATATTACAGGTATTACCAAACTTTTTATCATAGTTCAACAGATTTTTTTTAACAAAACAAAGAAATTGAGATCCTAAGTACTAGTAACTATTGCCAATGTTTGGCAGTCCTCAGCAGATGCATTCCTGTGGAAGTCCAGAAAGTCCAGTTCAAAACAGGAATCAAAAGACGAAGGTAGAATGACTCCACAAATCTGTCAGAAGATACATTGTCTCAGCAAAATTTTATAAGCTGACATGCTTTTACATACTAATAAATTCTGCTGATAATTTCTGACAGACGTCTTGTCTCTACTTTCATCTTATTTCAACAAAAAATTAAGTTCACCAGCATAACAACATGATTATAACAATATGATGTTTTCAATACATGGACAAATGTTTTAAGTAGCAATGATAAATATTCAGGACATAAATTAAAACCATGACATTGAGAATCTGATGAAGCACACAATAGATCTAACAACATTATCACCATACCATAATGTAGCCATTTCTGCATTTACATAAAAAAAACAAGGACTTCAGAAATAACCAGACTTACAGAAATATCCAATCTAATTGTTGCAACTGTGCTAATAAGCCCACCTTCACCTTATTTTCAATAAAAAAGCCAGTTGAAATGTTGCTTTCCTCTACCAATCCTTCATATAATAAGCACCCTTCTACTGCATGTATTTGCTTCCAAAAACTGACCTCATGTAGTGAAGTTGAGTTTTATTACTCTCCTCTAAAAATTCAAATTGTTTTCTGTTATCAAAATGCTTCATGTCATAAAAAATTGCTCCAATATAGACAGTTTTATAAAGCAGAGTACAAATTTGTACCATTTTTGTGTTTTTGGACATGTGCTTTATTAACTTTCAGTTCTATTATAACAATTGACATTGTGTAAATTTATAGGAAGTCCCTCTTATTAAAACTCCAATATAATAACAAGTTATTTTAACTTCACACTTCAATAACAGCCACAATTCAGATATAAGTGCAATCATGTGTATATGTAAATAACATTGAACAAGAGGCCAAATCGACCTGCATTGCTCACCTGGTATTCAATGTTCATAAAAATAGAATATTAAGTGTTCGTCACACATTCAAAGTCTGCACATCCAATCAATTCTAACCAATTACCACAATAACTTTAAGCTACTAATACTCAACTCTAAAGAGTGACAGCTATGACCTGGATTATAGACAAATGTCATTTCATGATTTTTGGTCAAAATTTGGCACCTTTGACCCAGAAAAACTTTTCCACAAAAATACCCTGCTTTTCAGACTTTTGGTTTACCAAAGGAAGTCATTTAGAGATTTTGAATTTGATTTGACCCCCATGATCTTGAATATGGGTCAAGGTCATTTCTTTTATGCAAATTTGCAGATTTCAATCTTGAAACCTATAAAGCAAATATCATGCTTCTGTGCCTTTTTAGTGGTCAAAAGAACTTAATATAAGGTTTTAAACAATTTGACTCCTATGACCTTCAATATAGGTCAAAGTTAATTACTGCCACAATTTTTGTTTTGTTGCTTCATTCTAGGAACATATAAGCCAAATACCACGCTTCTGCATCTTTTGGTTAGTTAGAAGAAGCTGTTTAAAGGTTTCAACAAATTCAATCCCTATAACCTAGAATATTGGTCAAGGCCATTTATTTTTGGAAACTTTGTTTGGCTTCATCCTAAGAAAGTATCAGCTAAATACCATGCTTCGGTGTCTTTTGGTTAGTCAGAAGAAGTCTTTGAAAGGTTTCAACAAATTTGACTCCAGAGACCTTGAACATGAGTCAGGATCATTTCTTTTCACAAAAATTTGTTTTACTTCATCCCAGCAATCAACCAGCCAATTACCATAACATTTGGTATATTGGTTACTGAGAAGAAGTGGTTTAAATGGAAAAGTTGATGCCAGACGGACGACAGATGGCGAACCACGGCATAAACTCACTTGACCAGTCTGGTGAGCTAGACAAAACCTGAAAGCAGGAACACAATACAATGGCATGTGTATAATATTGTTATATGACAGCATTTCACTGGCTGGAAAATTCCTATAAATCATAATACCAGTAAGCCTACCACCAGTCAAAACTATTGACCCATAAATATTTTTGACAGTTGTCCATTGTGGCACAAAACATCAAAATATACCCATTCTTATATAAGGTTATGAGAAATCTTTCTGATTGTGATTGCAGAAGACATTGACCATGATGGCTGCTTCTGTCAATCCTAAAGAAAACATCAGATTTTTTGGTTAACAAAAATTGTTTCATGAATAAAATATCAGTCAACAAAGAAAATTTTTTTCCAAAGAGTGTCGGGACGGACCTGATCTGTTTCCCTCGGGAATGTGCTAAACCGTACATCAGGTAGGTCCCAACACCTTAGTAGGGGTTGAAATCAAGATAAAAGTATCAGTATGGTGTTCCAGACAGAATACCATTATACAGTAACCTCATATTGCTTCTGAATGTATGATATTCCATCAGAGTTCAATTATAAGCAATTGTCTTCAGCCCATTAATAAAACTGCTATGTGTGACTGCATGTATTGTTTCTTTCACTTAAAAAAATATGATAAAATATATATGCACTGTATCTTTCCTGTCTCCTATATAAGATGGGGAAAAAGTTTTGACTATTGACTGTTCAGCAGTCAGGATTAAGGCATGAAACAAATTAACAAAAATATTTTTACCCACTCAGTTAAAACAGTTACCGCTGTTTCCGTCCTCTTAAGTGGGACAGGCCATTGAACACTTTGATTAAATAAAACTTATCTTTAAACGTACATATAAAATACACAATAGATAAACATCTATAACAAAAAATGTTCTATAACATAATATATTGTTGTTTTAAAATAAAAAAAAAAACTAAAACAATGTAAAGCACCTTTAAATGAAATAACAAGACAATAAGCTAATTAAAACAAGGCAAGATATCTAGGAATGGCTAGTAATGGGGCAGGAACAACATTCAAATATACTACTATAAACAAAAGTCCTTTTCCTCTTAACAAAGCTTTGCTGATAAAATGAAGCATAGTTGAAATGCCAATTTCAACTTCAAAAACATTATGATTGAATTTCGTCAATATCACTCAATCAGCCTGAAAAATACTGGCTAATCGAAATCTAGCAGCTTCCCAAGCTTGATATAGCCTAATTAACAAATGGCCTAATGGGCCTGCATTGCTCACACAGTATTTAATGATTTTCACATTAATATATCATATCATTGATATTCCATGTCTTGATTACAGAGAAGATGTTTGAAGGTATTGACAAGTCTGACCCCATGAACTCAAATATGGTTCAAGCTCTTTTCTTTCCAAAAACTATGATGAGCTAGAACCAATCATCCAAATATTGCTATTACAGACCTTCTTTAATATATGTCAAGGTCAAAAAAGGTCATCAAAGGCACCTACTGACAAATTATCAGGATTCTAAGCCTTTTGGTATTGAAAAGTTGTTTTAAGTTTTTAACAAATTTGACTTTTGTGATCTTGAATATTAGTCAAGGTCAATTCTCTACCAACTACCAGCCAAATATGGTGATGGATGACCTTTTCATTATTGAAACAATGGACAGGTAACAGACAGATGGACACCTTACCATGGCGAAAGCTCACCTGGCTCTTTGGGAAAGATAGCAAAAATTCCAAGACATGGTCATTTTTACAGTGAACAACCTTTGGATTTCCTAAAAAAAAGCATATAACTGTATAATTTGATGTAGATCAGTAATCAAATATTCATGATACAACACGTAGCTTAAACAGAACCATATGCATGACACACAGGTAAACATATAACCAGTAATTAGTTTTACAGGTGGTGGGCAGGTGGTTCTACCTTTATGTGTTCCTGAATGTAAATTAAAAATGCTTGTATGATGTGCATCCATCTCAAGATGTTTTTCTTTATTATTGGTTTTCATGAATTCACACTAGAGCTAGGCAAGACTATACAGTTTTGATCTTACTGTTTTCATAAAAAAAAATTCACAATTCTTAAGTTAAATGGCCATTATTTTGGGAAACATTCACTACAACCAAATCAGAACTTGACCTGTATATTACCTTTATACAACTTCATCCCAAATTAGAGTTCTATGTCTGTATCTGTTAAAAATTAAATGAGTGGAAAGAAAACAATGATAGGATAACACTATATGATTACTACTGTGAAATGAGAGGGGCATAAAAACCTCTGAGAAATCAGAGAGAGAAAAAAAAAACCTCTGAGAAACAATTAACAGGTGGGATAGGAAAGCAAAAATAGGCAAATGATGGAAAAGCTTCAGAAAATATAGAATAACAAAATGTTAAAAAACATCAGAATATTTTTTATCCAATGGTAAAGGTTGTGACCTCTAATTGTGACAACACACATTCTATATTATGGCTATCTAATTTCCCTTCAGACTGCAAAGTCCTGAACTAATTTGAATAAAATAAACTTCAAAAATATTTCCCTATTAAAAATATTGTTTAGAATATGATTTCTCGTTGAGTTGTCTCCCTGTACAATAAGCGAGATTAAAAATCTTGGATTTATATTACAAATTTACATTTATCAAGTTTTTTGATATTGAATTATATTTACTCTGAATACTGTTTTCCATGGAAATGACTTTTTTTCTGATCAAATGAAATCATGACCGTCACAACACAATATAAGTCTTGTTTGTCAATGTAAGTGTTGAAAAATCAGCAAACATTCCATACATACTTGCATGGTAATACTGAAATATTTCCACTAAAATATTTCCAAAAGATGATGATCATATCAACTACAGGATGAAAAAGGCAGAGAAAACTTTAAGAATAGTCATGAAAAATATGATTCCTGAGACACTATTATTTTTCAAAGGCTATATATAGAATGTATACAAACATGTATATGATTTCTATTTAAGACTTTTGACCAATAAAATTGTGATGATCTGGCAAGCCTACTGTTTCTTAAATGAAAATGTTTGAAAATGGCAGTTTTCATCGAAAAATTTTCATTTATATGATTTTCAAAATGTCAACGTCTTTATCAAATCTGTATCCTGTGATCGATTATGATTATCAGAGTGAAATGTCTAGATATATTAAAGACAGGATATACATATACCATTTTTATGTACATAATATTTGTAGTAGGTTTAGATGACTGCCTCAAATGAAAATTTCAACACAGGAGTGTCAGAAAATAATCATTCTCCAACTTCCAGATTACACTGAAAATTCCAATTTTCAGGTAAGATAGCCTTTGAATGGGCATTTAAGAATCTATTACTTGAGTTGTTTCTCTCTCGTTTAAGAAATGTAAAAATATCTTTTTAAGTCTTATTGACAATTAAGAGGCCATGACAGATATTAATCTGGACAAATTTCACTTCTAGAAAAAGGTAGTATTTCCCCAGTGATATGCTTTCCCCTCTGGATATAAACAAATTCCCTATCAAAACTGAAAACACAAAAAATTTCTTAAAAATTATGAAATTTTCTCTAAAACAGAGCTAATTAGTATTTTTTACTTTCAGAACAAGCCATCATTTTAACACTATCCCACTTTTGAATTCTGATCATATGAGATGTCCAAAATTTCTCAATTTCTCAAAATAGGCTAAAATATTCCCCCTTTCCACAATTGGTAGTATTCCCAAAATTCTAAATTAAGTCATGCATGAATTAAGAGACACTTAGTCATTGATACCAACCCATGAAAGTCACATCATCATTGCTTTGGTAATAATTCTATAGACTACACTGTTTAAGACATATTGATGAGATAGTTTTTGATCTGATACATCTGTCTTCTGATACACCATTTGCCTTGAGCTGATTTTTGATAAAATCACATCACATTCTATGATCCTCTCTCCTGGAGACCCATACACTGGAACAGATATTAAATGGTATGATATTACTTATAAATTAGAGAAAAAGTGGATACTATCTATTTATAATTTGTGTCATTACAGTCAAATCTCTCTTAAAGGCCACCTTTATTCAGGGGCCACCTGTCTACAAAGGCCAGTTTGGAATTGATCCTCTATATAAAGACCACTATAAAAGCCATTTTTCTTTGTGCCTTTGAGTGACTTTTATAAACAGGTTCAACTGAATATTTTTTTTCTGCAAAATAGTTTTTGTTTTAATCATAACTCATCAGTTTTAATAAATTATATTTTCTGGACAAACAAAAAGTATGTATTCAATATGTTTAAGTATTCAATATATAATATACATATAGATTAAAAATTCATATAAAAATCATGACACTTATAACAAAAAGTTATATAAAACCGTGCAAGAAATGGAAAATATATTTTCTCCACTAAAATGTATCATATAAACTTGATTTACCTCCTCATATGATGGAAGGCCATCAGTATATCTGTTATAACTCTGCGGTGCCATTGGCTGTAATTCACTAAAAGTAGGTGCTGTAGGTTCTAAGGGAGGTGGAGGAATGAAGTTCTGGGTTGCAGCTTGATTCTCAACCGTCGGTAGCGGAGGAATAGAGTTTTGTGTGGCTGTTTGACCTCCACTTTGACCTGTGGTTTGATTGTTTTTGTCCGAACTTGACTCTCGACAGCAGCAGTAGTAGCAACAACAGCAACAGAGGAAGACTAGTACTAGCGAACCACCAACACCTGCTACAATCTTTATTATATTCGAGACTTCTTCAAACTCTGAAAAAATGAACATTTTTTGTTTAGGATACATGACCCAAAGATGCACAATATTAATGGTTTTACAACAAATTTTGTTTCAACAGTAAAGCTTTCTTATTTTTTCAGATATGATGTGGCGCAAAAGTGGGCTGTGAACTGATGGATTTTGAAATTACTGAATGGCATGCATGTTGGTCTGTGAGACAGATAAAATGTGAGATGATTGGACAGTGAGATGATGTGATTGTAAAGTGACAGGAATGTGAGATGGATCGGATATGAGATGGGTGGTTTGTCAGATGGATGGATTGTGAGATTGTGGCTGGACTGGATATTGGATAGTAAAACAGGAATGCTAATGGATAGCTTAGCAAGGCTTCATAGTTATAATTTTTGGTAACAACAAAAGCAGTGTAAAATGACTGAAAAATTCATTGCCAAAGGAAAGTTATGACAAGAGATCAAAGGACCATGATTATGAACAGTCCAATTATAAAAGCATTTTCTTATCAAACATGTAATTAACAATGACCAGAACTAAATAGTGATGTAATGCAATTGTAAAATGTACAATATCATCCAATGTTAATAATTCTAACCAAATTTGAATTGTTATGGTATTTAACAAATATGCAATTTGTCATTTCGTTTTACAAATTATTCAACAGAAAGAACAGTACAAAAATTGTCCCCTTCTCTGGGCCATAGAATGAACAATTTGGTAAAGCATCTTAAGACCCTACCATCATGAACTAATTAATACCACCATACTCTGTGTCTTTAAATTTTGAAAATTCAGTTCATTTGACCCCTTTTTGGCAACAGTTCTTAATGCTCTTGGTGTTACAGACAGTGTCAGCTTTTTAAACCATCAAGGTACCATAACAAATAATTCATACCAGTTTAGAATAATTTCAAATTGACAATTCAACAAATTATTCCCAAAAATGTTATTTCTCTATACAAACTAGTTAACTGTTAGCCCTCCCTTCGGGAAATGTCGAAATTTTGGTTAAGCATTTTAAGGCCTTTCTATTTATGAAGGATATTTGATTCAACCAAATCTGGGTTTAGATGATGATTTTTAAATGTTGATTGATTGAATCCCTTTTGGCCCTGTCCAATATAGGCATATCATCAACTTGTCGTCTTTTACTAATAATTCTTACCATGTTTGAATTACTTCCAACAACAATTAAACAAATTCTAGCCATCCTAACTCTTTTGTCTCTGTTTCTCAGAGTCCCTGGTGACAAAAACCATTTATAAACAAATAAGTGAAAGGACACAATTTTGAAGCAGAATGCATTTCTTCCTTACTATCAACTTTCGCTGGACGTTTTGGAACTCTGTAGACAGACGCATCATACACTGAAAACAAAGAAATGTACAATTTAAAGCCGTAGATAAGATACAGTTGTGGGATGGCACACTATTAAACAATGCACAATGTGTTTTTGATGCATGCAAGATGTGTGTAAGATGGAAAAAACTAGACAAAATAAGCTATTGCACATCTGTATGCACATTGTGAAGTTCTATTGCACATATGTGCAATTCCAATGTGATTGATGTAAATTTAGAAATCACTTATAGATAGGTGTGGGATGGGGTTTATCTATTTTCTAAATATATAAGAGTATGACTAGGTATATTTCCTAATGAAGCCATAAATCTATAGGTTGGACATATGTAGATATATCAGATAGAGACTGAATACTAGTTATATACACTCTTGTATCGCAAAGTATACAGACACTCATTATATATACATTTTATATGCAAATATTAAATGGGCCCCTCTTTTTGTCTACGCAATGAATCATCTAAAATCTCATACCATCAGAAAGAAAATTTCATTTTTTCACCCGAGGCACACCACTTACCATTTTCTGTGATGTGAAAGTACAGAAAAAGTAATTAATGCAGGGCCAGAGTTATTTCGAAAACTGTAAAATTAAAAATGACTATTGCAACCCACAATTAATTTTAATACATCTTTGATCGATATTTAGTCAAAATAACTACACAAGTTTTCCGTTTAATTTTCAATCTGTCATATTTGCAAACCTTTTTATAACAAACGGTAGAAAATGAGCAATCGTATTACACAGTTGTTGTCTAGATACTGTAAAGTGTGTTTATGGACGATGTGGGCACGATGTATATACAAAGTTTTTGGCACATTGTGTGTTACCACAATTGTATCTAAAAATAGATGTTCTTATCCTTTATTCTTCTCATGATGTGATGTATTTACCATTTCTTTTAAACAAAAGATCAGAAATAATGGGAAGCTATAATGAAACAAGACATATTAAACATGGGCCGTCAGAGACCACTTATGCTCCCCTAATGGGACAAAATGTAAGTATGAAAAATAACAAAGAGCAATAGGAGAATTATGATTCTTGTGCACTGCTGATCCTTATCATTGGGATCTATCTACATATAAAGTTTCATGATGATACCTCTTTTAATTTTAGTGTAATGCTCCAGACAAAATTTAAGTATACCAATAACAAAGGGAAATAACTCCTAAATGATGATAAAAGAGAGTGATAAATCTGGTGCACTGCACTTCTCCTTTTTGAGGTCTGTATACCAATGAAGTTTTATCTTGATACCTCTTATAGTTTTTGTGTTATGACAGACAGACAGATGGACGGATGGACAAAGCAGTGACTCTATGCTCTCTCTTCCTGTAGCACAAAAATATATTTGAAGACAAAAAAAAATCCAAATTTTGTGAAATGATTATCATAACAGCTCTAGGACTCAAAAGAAAGTTTGTGAATAAGTTAACTTGATCCATTCATAAAATCTGACTGTTGTGAATTAATTATGTCTGACTTCAGAAAAAAGGGTTGATAAGAAGATGTTCCTCAAGTTCCCCAGATGAGAGAAAATTCCAATAGATAAAAACTGATGGCTTCCCATGCCACAAATGAATATGTCAAAATATTTTCAGGTAAAAAATAAATAGTCATAACACTTACTTGAAGCAATCTCACAAACGTAAAAGTGTTTCAGCTGACAAGAAACAGGAATCCAGAGTCCTGTAGCTACCTCCTGGACCACACAGTTTTTTGTTTCACTATTACCTTCTTTTCTGTTAATTTTGATAAAAGACATTTCAAAGTAGAGGACAAAGAATCAGTATCACTTTCTCAATTACTATTATAAGCTGCCATGGTACAACATATTTTTAAGTTATGCACACATTATTAAGAAATTAAGTTTCATTGATTTTACAACAAATTGTTACAACTCATTGTATATTTATCACTCTTGTTGACCTGGATATAAGCATGCAAGGGGTCTTACTGAGGAAACCAGAGTACCAATGGAAAACCAGTTTGGTTAGGCAGCAGACCCCTTACCTTTTGACCTGATGTCATTTTGGTAATCAAAACCCCAGATGCCTAAGTGAAAGGTGAGAGTGTTACCACTGTGCCACTTGACCACCCAACTTTATTAAAATCTTCTGTGAATGATTTTAAATAACAGTAACAATTCACAAAAACAATTTCATTACTACTCTTAATTATTCTTTCATAGATCAATGTCCTTTCACAAATTGATTTTAATGACTAGGTAATGTAACGATATTAGCATGAAAGTGTTTTACTCGTACCTGTTGTAGAACATCAGTGGACTACGGTCTATCCATTCAAAGGTTCCCTCTTCTTTTATATCATTTAAACCAATCCAAAAGTAAGTCACATTTCTAGATCTATACATCAGTCCTATAAAGATAATTAAATAACATTTTAATAATGACAAATTATATGAAATCTTATATATTCTATATTGAAGACTAACAAACAAAACTCTATCCTATGCAAAATTTAAAGGTTGCCTTCTTGATTATATCATTCGATCTTAGCAGACAATTTCAATTGTTATCCCTAGAAATGTTTACCTTGCATAATCAATTTGAAGTCTCCTTTTTTTTAGTAGGGTTTATATGTCTCAAAACTCTTATACACTGTACCACAACAATAAAATTATGGGTATACTAATGAATTTTCACTGAATTTTGACCACCAGAGGCTATTATGTGATCAGTAAAAATTGTAATTGAATTTGTTATTGAAGTACAGTAAATATTCATTTGCCAATACACTTACAAAGCTGGTGATTCCAGGTAAGCTAATTCACCATATGAGTCAGTCTAGCAAAATTTTCCCTTTGAGAAGGTGATTTGCTCTTTGCTTTTAATCATCATTGTTCATGCTGTCTATCAATCATTGCACTAGAATTCAATTTTGATCAATCTGCCTAATTTATTAATTACATGATTAAACAATAGACAAAGAATACCTGCAAAAGATAAAACAAGACCACTCAGAGAATGAATTAAAGTGTCCTATTGACACACTGCCTGACCAAGGTTAACCCATACGCCCAGTAGGAAAGTTCCAAAGATTGGTAATGTAGAAGATATAGTTCAGACCAACTTCTTACTCAATGTAGGTCAAAGGTGTATGGACAAGCCAAAGGCCAAATGGTTGATTTGGTTTATTTTTCTCTTTCTGAGTATACTACAAGGTTCTCTACTATAGACTGCATTTAACATTCAGCAATCGGGTCCTTTCCCATCATGTTTCTGGGGTCAGCTTGGGAGGTGACAAGAGGGATGGTCATTAGTTCAATGTATTCTAGATCTGTCATAGAGGCTTACATTGAAGTCAGCGCTCTGGGTCTGACTCTTTCAAGCACCAATGTTTCTTGATTTCGATTATTGGCTGATTGAGATGGCTGTGTATCTGTTGTCCTCCAAGTTTGCAAGGTTTAAAACCGTGGACAGCCTTGAGGGCATCCACTTTCTTGTCCAGTCTTCAAGAGTATTTACTGGTCCCATCATCTCATACAGAAACTTTGACACAATTATCAAGATTTTGTACAAATCTGCAGATGAGGCAATCATAACAGACAACAGGTCTGAATTTGGTTTCATGATAAACATGAGACAGTTTGGCAGGAAGAGAACTTTGTCAATGTGGTCTCATGCTAGGCAGACTGCGATTGAGTGGAGAGAAATACTTGAATAAGGAGTGAGGGGTGTTGGCCAGCAGTCATTTCTACCTATTTTGACCACTTTTAATACAGGTATATACTTTGTTAGAAAATACATTTGGATTTATTGAGATCTTGTCATCTTGAAAATTTATGGATGTAAGTTGTTGGGACTAATTGTTGTCCTCTAAGTATGTTCAGTGTCAGACAGAGAGTGATGACCCTGAAGCTGCACAGCAGTTGTGTGGTGAGAGTGTTATCATTGAATTTGAGGCCACAGGTGAAAGCCGCCCAGAAGCTATGACAATTGGAGCTATTGGGCCATTCCTGGTGAACTCTTGTTATCCACTTATGAAGGGTAAGGGTTCCTGCAATGCCTTGTGGAGAATCAATTTTCTGGTAGAACAGAAGGCAGGGACTAAGTCTTTGGTATTGACTGTTGAAGATGATACAACTGAAGGTAGTAGGGCCATTAGCCTGTTTCGACCTGACAGGGTTAAAGTCATGTTTGGAGATACAAAGGTGATATACAATTGCGATGTTGTTGTAACATCTGGTAAATTGATGGTCAATTGGGTATTCGCTTGGTAACAGAAGTTCCTCTTCAGCATAATACAGGTTAAATGCTTTGTTAACTTTTGGCATTGATTTGCTGGTCATAATGGATGCTTATTGGCTGGTGCTGCTTATCTTTTAACAGATTCGTCATCAGATTACAATGAAAATAACAAGAGCAGTATATATCTGAAGATGAGGATGTCTTTGAAAGAAAAAAGAAACAATTGCCAAGTCAGCACTAAGCTACCATGCTGATGTTGAGGATTTGCCATGAAATGTATTAGTGATCATGAGTTTGCCAGCACCCCTTCGTGAAGAAAAATATTCTGTGCTGTACAAAATAGGAGAAGGGAAACTAGGCCTAATCCATTGGAATTACAGAGGTATGAGGACAGGTTCCAAATAGTGGTTTGGGCTTTGTTGTTGTGACAAGGCTTTCTACTGTTCATTTGGTGTCCTTGCAGTTATTCATGGACTCCTCTAGTCATTGGGGTTCAAACAATGTGTCTGAAGTGACCAACAGTTATTGTTTAGAAATACATGTATTTTGCCTGATTAAAATGAGAAGGAGTATTATGATGTGGATTAAGGTGAGGAGCTGATATCATTTGGTGAATTGGTTCAAGTCAACTCGCCCCAAAAGCGATGTAAGACAAAACGTCACAGCACCCACTGTGCAATGGTCAAGCTATAGAAATGGATGTGGTTTCGCTCTGCTATGGTCAGATCATACACAGCACATTATAAGCTTGCCCTACATATTACATATTCTCATTGTGATTAATATTGTTGTAAAGCTAGAGAAACTAAGGAAATCAGCAATATCAACTATTCTATTTTATGCTTACGTTTTATGAAGTCATACACGGCTGCGGATTCAATCTTGACAAGGTTTGCATTGCTAAAGCCACAGAATTTCTGTGCAGATTCAAAGTCCACTCTACTGCCAGGTGCCCTCATCACATGAAAGCAGCTACTGACACCATCGTTATTTTCTGGACCACGGACCCAGCCTGGTGGACAATCCTGGTTATCTGGATCTATAATTAACAATATTCATCATGCTATTGTTACACTATAAAAAAGTACATTCTGTCAAAACATGTTCTTACAAATCACAGTGTATACACATAACAAATATCTACATCATAATCAATGTATGATTCCTTTTAGGTCTTTCCCAGATATGGACAGCTTAATTCCTTGTAACAGAATTTTAATTAAATTACTGAGGCATGAAAAAGATGTCAAATTCAGCATTGGATTTTGTAGAAACCAGCGTGACTTTGTGTCCCCCTCTAGCTGCATTACTTACAAGCCCTGTAGATGTGAGGCTATGCCTTAGCCTATGGTTTTCAAGATACAGACCACTTAATTTTCAACCAGACACACAAATGGACAGAAATATAAAAGAGACCCATTCAACATCTTTGATTTCAAGTCAAACCAAAATACAACACTTAATCAGTACCAGCTTTGGAACATTCCTGAAAGGTGAACATTCTTGAAAAGTGAACATTCTTGAAAAGTATCTATGAAAATACAATGGAAGAACTTCACTTTGACATGTAATGTTAACTCTCAAACAAACTAAAAAAAAAGTGTGTCAGTTTTAATCCCTCAATATTCCCAATGAGTCATGAGAGGTTGTTAAGTATATGAAAACACAAATAATCATGTATATGACAAGATAGAAAAGTGGAACAATTTAAATATGAATATTTTAAAACTATCTGATGCCTTGTAACTTAAGAAAGATAACTCATTTTTCTTTATTTAAGTAACTTGATATTTTCTAAATTGAATTGTTAACATAGAACAAGGCAAATCACGTTGCTGTTAAATTCAAATACATGGATATCTATTGCCTATTGACATATTCTCATTCTCTTTTTCATACTCACCAAACATTTCATATCTTATTTCAATTCCTTTGTGACGAAACTTGTCTTTTCTTTTGTCTGAATGAAAATCAATGTATGTCCCTCGTCCAAAACTGATAAATTGTTCTGCATGGTAATTTGGACATATATGACTGGCATATCGACCCAGGCCTATAATCAATAAAAGATACAAAGTGTGCTGTTTTTTCTAAGATCAGGGACCAATCAAGGTTTTATGCAGACTGAAAACATTTTTCTGTTACATTCTGTTTCACTCAATGGATTAGATTAAAAGTTTGTACTATGTAATAAAAGTGTGTTTTTTAATATACATAATATTATTGATTATTGTTCTAAATAAAAAATCTGAAGGGTCAAATACACAGTAAAATACTGATGTCCCTTCAATTACGAGAGTCAAAACTCCCTTCTGGGAGTCAAAAACATACTCACAAGGTCAATTGTTAGCCCTGAAACCTAGCTATGTTATTTTTCTGTCCTGGACTTATTGCAGGATAAATACAGTTACAAGAAAAAATATAGTATGTATCCAGTGATCAGTGGGGAAAAGAGAAAAAATTAGGCTCAAATTCAGTGGACAGAATTATTGCAAGAAAATCAAATTCATTCACATGTAGCACTTCATTGATAATTCAACTAACCAGCACTTCATACATGAGTGGGCTTATTAACGTACCAGACAAGGCCTAATTTGTTGCCAGATAAGTGCAATATATAAGAAATATGAAAGTTTTCATTTCCTTTGAGAATCTTAGAAGTTGACGTTTTTGCGAGGTTTAGCGAGCAAAACTTGAAACTTTAAGACAACTTTCATAAAATTTCATATGACAGGAAAACAAAATTTACAAAACGTTTCATAGCATATCACAGAAATGGTAAATTTTTGACAGCTTTGTAATTAAAATGTGGACTACATAATCAGATAGAGTTAGTCATTTTGTTGCACCAATTTCAATTCATGATGTAATGTCCTTGTCTATATCATGACATCATAATCAAATTCAAAGCCAATGAAAAATTATTCAGGGTATACATTACAACTAGTATTGCATACACAAAAAATTTTACAAGCCATCAGGAAAATTCATTTGATTACAAGATGAATGTAATAAGAATGTATACTTACTATTTTTAATGGTAAGATAGTCATGATCACTACACTTTTCATCCCATGAGTTTGGAAGTAAGTCCACACCAACAAATGACAGCTTCACTCGTCCAAAGGCCCCTGCATCTATATACCATTGACATTTCAAGTTTCTGTCATAATAGTTTTTTCCAGGAAGTCTAGTGATTATTGTTCCTATCATGGATTGAAAATCGTATATCCTGACTGTTGACCGAGAAGATTTGTACTTCACACACCTGTGCACAGGTTCTTTACCTTCTGTACGAAAATAAAGAGAAGACCACAACAGAACATCAAATCAACTACCATAACACTAAACTGAAACTAACAAAGTAAAAATATTAAAAAAACACATTTTTTGTACAGTCGTAACTAATTTCAAATATTGGACGTTTGATATTTAGACATTCATACATACATAATTTGCCATCAATCCTTCATTTCCCCCATATTTTATGCAATTTAACAATCTAATTAATCAATACCTGGTAATATCAAATCACTACCTGTTCCAAAATTAAACATCAAGGCTGCAGTATATGTCCATTAAAAAGACCCAGGGTACAAATACCAATATAGTAGTTTAATAAGTTTAGAAATACCTATTATTTCTGTCAGCATAATCATCAGACCTATTCCAGACAGCCAACATAATGGTCTACAAAATGGAAGAAAACTCATTAACTTTAGAAAGTTTGAATTTTTCTCTCAAAATGTATATAGTCACTTATACTCTGTCCTTCAAAAGAAAATACTCATTTTATACTCAAGAATAACAGAGCTGAATACACCTAATTATGACTTCAACATCATTTGAATCTTCAATATATTAGCAAGATATGAAAATATCAACTTGCTCAACTTGATTCGGAGTGCACAGAAAATATCACAAAATTATTATGTTATCTCATGTACATGTGAAATTTAAACTTTGGGAAATAAAGACAAATAAATGCATTTAAAATACATGTGTATTTCATTATAATGTTGCCCAATGTCAAATGAAAAAGTCAAATAACTTAGAATGAACTTGACAAAATGTTAAAAAATCAAAAGCAGTTTATGCCTTGGATTAAATAAGCAATTGATTGTTAATGATTTAATGTTAATTATAATTTGTTAATTTTACAGATATGTTTTGATTTAACAGATATGAATACATAGCTGTAACTCAAAGCCAGGGCTCTCGATCTGCAAGATTTTGGGCTGATATTCGGCCCCATTCCCAAAGCAAAATAGTTTCTTTTTTTCCCAATTTAGACCCCAAGTTTTCCCAATTCTAAGGAAATCGCCGTTATTTTTCCCAATTCTACGGGCCCCGGGCCCCAGTCCCAAAATTGAGTGTGAAAGCCCTGAAAACTGCCCAGATCTATAATGATATGCACAAAGCAATTAATTTTCACAAATTTAAACCTGGCTCTGTTTGGGTTGTGATTGACTCTTCACATTTTTGTGTCACATAAACTGCATAAAATATATTTAAACATATATTTTCAATCTGTGTGAAATGAGCCATTTATATAAAAAATACTTATGTCATTAATTTCATATACAGAGGTCTTCAAAGACTAAAGAGTTTGGTAATGGAAATCAGTGACTGGACTGAGCTAACTACCTCCCCCTCCGCATTGCCTTTATCTCTGAATGGTTTGGAAACCAGACATGTACTCCGATAGTCCCACTCAACCAGCCCTTGAAAATTTTACAAAGAGGTCAAGCAGCTGCATAGGTGAACTAGAGTAGAGTTATATGTACCTCCCATATATATATATCAAGATTACCATGAGTTATCACTTTATTCATTGATACCAGAATATGTATTTTTTCACAATCAAACTAAGTATATAGTTTTCCATAATACATCTGGCGTTCAACCCATCAAGATAAAGATAAGGTCTCATATTTACAGAATGTTGTGGCAATTATTTACCAGGATTACAAAGGGTTTGCCTTTTTTCAAGTTAGAATGCATTTCAAAGAAATGTGTTGGTTTAATATTTTTACAACTTCAACAGCTGTCACTCTTCCCACTGATTGCAATGTGATCCTTGGATTAGGAAAAAAACATCAGAGTACCTACGTCTGAATGATCTTTGCATTAACCTTTACAGACAGATGTAGATTACATTATAATCATCCCGGAGAGTGTTATCATTTTAAGTCGAGAGCTTGAGGATGTCCCGGACAAGTTCCAGCCACAGATACTTCTGGACCCAATTTAATAAGCACTTATAAATAACAACCACACAATAGCCATAAGTATATATGGTTCCAGCGTATGATTCAATCTGTTTTATCAAGAGGACAACATACAATAACCAATTGTAGAAGGAGAGGGAAATATAATACCTGCTTGGCCTCATTGCCGTCTGTTACTACGTGACTTTGGTTTTTGGGGTTATTTTTCCTATTACAGATCCCTTTACATTTCTTTCTATGGGAAAACACCTTGCGCAGAATAATCTTCGAAGAGCGAGTGTAATAATGTAACTTCTCAAAGAAGAGTTCGGTTATACATATGTGTCGCATGCGCAAAGTTAACTTCCGGTTAATTCGCCATCTTGTTGCCAGGAAAGCTTCTTTCAGCCTGTCTCCAAGTTTTGGTAGGGCCTTTTCACATTCTGCCAGAACAACGTTAGTAGGACAAGATGGCAAAAGAATGCATGGATGACGTTTCATTCAACAGATTACTCAGCGACATTAATCAGGTTCGTATGCACCTAAAAATGTATGGTTTCCATGGTAAACATGAAATGTCAATGCGGCCGATGTTTGTTTTGTCAGTTTCATGGTTTCATTTAAAGGTCCTGCTTTGCAGATTTAGTCTATTGTTCTCAATTCTAATCTCTTTATACCATGTTTGGATATTTAAATTTCACTGATATAGGAGATTACTTCATAATCAAATAATATACTGTTTTGGGATGATAGATAATAATTCAAATACACATAGTAGGCGTATATCAGCTGTTTAGTAAACTCTAAAACTATTCAGAAGTGTGTGTGTGGTTTAAATAATGTTTCGGATGATCATGAATCTATAAATTTGATTTTTAACGTATATGAGTTTTATCGACCACTATTATGAGGAAGCAAACCTAGTATAGAACTTTGATATATTAATGGATTTGAATTAAAAAATAAAATCTGATAATTAATGACACTGTAATTATAATGATACATCATGCGCTATTTTAGTAACATTCTTAAGCTATAATTATTCCATTAATTAACACCTAAATTATAAAAAAAATCAGTTTGAAATATTATCTTATTTTTTTAATGTACTGGGAGGTACAATGTCTGCTAATACCTATATATTTTTCTGCTGCTAGAAATTTGTTATCATCATTATCATACTATGGGTATTGACTTTTCTTTCTCTTCAGCAAACTTCATCCTTGGATAAGAAAGTTGAAACTTTATACAGTTCAAGAGGATTTTTCAGTGCTGATCAGGTACCAGATTTACTGATTCACCATACTTAGAACTCGAAAGCAAATTATATCTGAGCTGACAAGGGAGATTAATCTGTAGTTTGGATTTGTTTTCAAAATATAGGTCACAATAACATTAATAAATGGTATAGCTTTAAGCGAAATGATATAGAAAATTAATTCAAATTCTTTTGTTCTTCAATCGTCTTTGTCATCCTCTCTTTCCTTCAACATCAATGTGTGTTTACAGGCCCAATGACTTCTGTGCATAATTAGTAACAACATGTACATTAGAAAATTCAGATCTTGGCAAATTAGGTGTTTATAAACAAGCATGCCCATGTAACAGTTTCATATAATTTTACATGTCAAATTTTTCAGACAAAATTCAGCTATTAAATTTCAGTTATTGCTAATACAAATTTACATATTGTTTCTGAATTTCTTTTCCAGGCGGCCACACTACTATATGCCTATGGAAGCCCTTCTGATAAAATCAAGGCAGTTAGAGTCTTGGAGCCTGTAAGTATGAAAAACAGGACATATACTGGTAGTGCTTTTACTGTACTGTAAGATTGTTTTATGCAAAGATTTGTTGCTTTTTGCAGGATTGAATAAAATTGCAAAAGATGAATATCTTGAAAATAAAATCAAGAGTCCATAGTTTGCAAAAACTACTTGCAATATGTCCCCAGGTTTTAACAAATTTGTGAATATTTAGACCACAGAATCGACCTGTTGAGTATTTCATTTCATTTTTCAAAGACAGATCCTTATACTTTTAAATTTCAAGTGAATGTAATCGATAGATGTATACTTATATCCTTTTATCACTAGTAAAAAGTTAATGTGTTACTTTATTTTCTGCCATGTAGATACAATTTGTGGTTACTGCCATGTAGATACAATTTGCTGCTAATATAGAAAATAAAAAACAATCCTTATCTGTTTATCATAACTTTGATAAACATAGATTTTCATAAAACATTAAGAAAAAATTACTTTATACATACGCGCATCATTAGCAGAAAGTTCAATCAAACAGTGGTGCCACTTAGGTGTCATTGACCATGACATTAAAATATAAGACAAAATTATTAAATTGATGTTTTTATTCATTTATTTATTTATCTATTTATTTATTTTATTTGCAACACACATATATAATGTAACATTGAATATAGAAGTTTTACATGTCTCTTCACAAGTAAACTATGTTTATATATAAAAATTTCCTGCATTTACAACTAGTATAACAGTGACAAGACCAGATATTATAAAATTTTCCATTAGTTGTTTATTGTGCAATATTCAACATATAAGACCAATTAATACATAGCTTATTATATGAACAGGACAATGATGAAGTTCTGAAACTATGATCACTGTCAGTAGACTTATTATCAATAATGCCATTCAAACACAATAAATGAACATTTCAAATGCAATGTTGATTAAATTCTAAATTTCTGTTCAGTAATGCCCAATAGAATTTCATCAACTGTAAAATTAATCTTGTTTGTTGGGGCTTTATTTTTATTGGTTTTCAAGATACAATCTTCGTCAACAAATTCATATTTTGACAGATTGATAACTTGTGTTGTCAGATTGATAAATCGTATCATCAGATTGAGAAATGGTGTAAACCACATGGATTTAGTGTTAGTGGATTCCTTGGGAATAAATTCACAAAGTCAAGTATCAATATTTTTTTTTATGGAAACCACAAAATCAAGCCCCATAAAAATACAATTTGATATGGTTCAGATTGAGACTATTTATATTCTGACTAATTGAATGTGAAGTATGTAAACCTAGCTTAAAGTACCTAGTATTGTATATATGTACAAAATGTCATGTTCCAATGAACATTATCATCTGTTGATTAATCTCTATTGTATACAAAGTGTAGCCAAGATACAGAGTGGTTCTGACATTAAACATTTGTTCAGTGTGGTAGCCATCTACCACCTTCTACAAACAGGTCCCATCTCAAAATTACTTTGACTATTCACAAGACACTAAACCCAGCAAGCAACAGAAAATCAACAATATATTTACATGGTTTTTGTTTTGTAGAGATTATGTCGAATGACATGTAAGGATGCAAGAGGGATAATTGGAGCTGTCAGTGTTCACAATGACAAATTAATCGTCTTGGATTGTATAAAAAGGTGAGATACAAATATCTGAAGGTACAGAATAGTTTCAAAATGAACTCAGTACAGAGATGCAAATTTGTCTTCATCTAGGTATATTTAAACTTTTAATAGCATACAGGATTCAAGTTAAAAAATTAAGAAGAAAGAATATATTAATTTTATTATCTACAATAAAATGGTATTTTATATAGAACCCTTTTTATCAAGGGAATGATCTTAGGTTTTTTTTCTCTAGTTTCACTTAGTATTTCATTTCAAATTTTGATCAGCAGAAAAAAGTAACAAAATTAATATTTGTGCTGATATTTATATACTGTGTATTAAATAGATTTTTACAGAGTTATTTAACAGTCACATCAGAAAAAAAATGGAATTTTTTACCAGTGATGTATGACAAATAACATGTTAAAATACAAAATGTAGATGCAGCTTGAAACACAAGACTGTTAGATAAAGGCAGAACTCTCAAGACATACAGTATCATTGTCAGCTGTAAATTAATTCATTTTGAATTAAGAGCAATAATTAAGCAATAAATCCTAGTCTTTCCCCAACGATTTAATATCAGTATTGACTTAGCTTGGAGAATCTTATGATCATATGTAAGCAGAATTGTAGACAAAATTCCTTTCACTTTATTTTTTCATCGGTTTGGGACAAAAGTATATTAACAAAAGGTAGAGAAGTGCTTTACTATTCCATCGGCTTATATGAAGTTCTAATATCAATTATCATATCAAAAAGTCAGTACGTTTTTTCCAAGAGATTGACAGAAGGTAAGAAATACTAGCCAAAGTTACATGACATTTGAACCTATAAATTTCTTTAAATTATTAGTAAATTCATTAAATATAATATATTTGATAAAGATTAATTGTTGGTTATTAAGATTTTATAACATTTCATATTCTCTCTTTGTAGATAAATAATCATGGTAAAGTAACCATATAATGTAGTTTGTAGATGAAATTTACTCCTTTTTATCAGAAAAAGTCTTGTATGATTTTTGTTTATTTTTTTTTCAATTATCTGATATACATAATGCATTTTGTATTTTGTCTAATTTACATGACTTTATCATAAATGATCTTCCAGTTCATTTATTTGAAAAATAATAATATTGAAGTAATTTTCATAAATTTTATCAAAATTACACAGGAAAATTCTTATTACATTAGTTCTATGGATATGCATGTATCAGTAAGATAGTTGCTGCATGAATGGGTACTGCAAAGAATGACTTTTCCAGAGATACAAAGAAATAAGAAAACAGTACTGTATTGATGCTAGTATAGACTTTTAGATAGAGTAATACTAATTGCAATTTAATGTGTTTGAAAGAAATAATGTTTTTATTTATGATATTTTTCTCAAAGACAAATCTGAAGTTAAAACTACAGGTAGTTCATTAGATAAATTTCAGTTCATTCAGCACATGCACTTTTAAAGCTTGTCTCACTTCCTGATGAATGGAATCTACTATTGCTTGGCTGTCAGTTAACCTGTCATGAAAACGATTTAAATGAAACATGCATGTAAATACTTCAGTATAAAGGATAAAGCTTTCTTATGCTTTTTACTACAAACATCAGAAAATAGTTATAACAACAAGTTTAAAACTTTCAAGTTTTTCACTGACATTCCCTTGAAAATATACAATTAACATCTGTCACCAGAACATCATCAAATGACACAAAAAAAAACCCATTTATTACATCCCTCTAAATCAATTAGTGGGAGGGGGGTTGGGGGGATCCTGATTGCTTTTGCTTCATATTTTCTGTCATTATTTTCAAACCTCTCACTGAGGTAAGAAGGAATTGATATAGTTATCTCTTTGTCTGTGCTTCTGTCCATCTTTATCGATCCATAGTTGTGTCCTGTTGATTTTGGGAATGGTCAGAAAGATAAAATAGCTCTTTTCTTGAGAAGTTTCAGATATAGGTTCCCCTAATTTGTCTTTAGTTACACCGATTCAAGTTTGGGACTGATCAGAGTAACTAAATGGCTAACAGGTGGCCACGTTGGATTTTGACAATGATAGTTTGTTGTCACTATTTTTTGAGAAATACTGAATGGGCCTGATTGGAATTCCACACTATATGTAGGTTCCTCTTGGTCCCTGGTGGTGTCGTTTTGATTTGGGGACTGATCAAAAAGAAAAAGTGACTGACAGGTGCATGACCATCTTGGATTTTGAAAGTTAAAGATTAATTTTGCTAATTTTTAAAAGAAATTTCCGAATTTCATATAATTACGAGCAAAAGAAAAAAAAAATAGAGGAAAAATTCCAAATTTCGAAGACCAAGTACAGATCAAAGAAAAGTATCATAGAACTTTTCAAAATTCAAATCAGCAAAGAAAGTTATAGAATGAAAAGCGAGAGAATTGATAAAGTGTTTCAAAAGTCTCATATCTATAGTAGTTTTGGGCTGTAGTTTATAAGTGTAGTTACTACTGTTATGTATTTTGATACAATTAATATAAAAATGGAAAAGGTTTGTGGACATTGAAAAAGAATAAAGTTGAAACATTGTCAAAGAAAAATATTATACTGCTGAAATGTTTTCCATTCATATGTTATGTAACGCACTTTGACAAGAGGTGCATCTCAATTATGATTGTAAAACTGAACAATAATTCAGAAAGTCAGAGGAACATGTTTCTATTGATTTATCTGATGATACAGCTGATTCATTTGATATAGCGGAGAATGCTGGCAATTAAAAAAAAAAAAAGAAAGAAAGAAAAAAATTGTGCTCAAAATTCATAAAATTCAGAAATTGAAACTTTTTTAATAGATGAAGTATCTGTCAATTTTAAAATGTATTAATGCTGATTAAAAGAAATGGCCATGATCCAACTCTACCTTTAATTAGATAGATACAGAAATACGATTGTGAATTGATTTGATCGATGTATTTGCATGAAAAAATAACCATTTATTTCTTACTTGTTGGGGTAGACTTTTAGTATGACAGGGACCTTTTTGAGAAAAATTTATTGAATGTCAGATAAATTACAATTATTTCCAGACATCTTTAAGATTAAGGTATTGCTGACTTGTCGTGTATCAAAATTGATGGATCCATGATTTTGTGTCTTAGGTGTCTCTGTGACTACCAGACGACCTTGGGGCAGGAATATATCCTTAGTGCCTTTCCTTTCGAACATGACAAACAAAGAGCCATGCAGATTTTGCAGACTGTAAGTTCTGTCAGTTTTTTTCTTTTTCGCATACAAAGGCTTATGATCAAATAGAGGTGTCTCTTGCTCATAAAAATGGAAAGTAATTTAGAATGGACATTCTATTGGAAAATTGATTTAATATAGTAAAGAACTACATATAACAGAGAATAAGTAACACAGTTTTTTTCCAGTCAATCTTTATGATAAATAAACCGTTTTTATTTTAACTTCACATGTACCAATGTAATTAAACATGTTGTTAATTAAGGATACTTTTATAGGCAGAGTTACATGAAACAATTTAAGCATCAGAAAAAAATTCACTTCAGGGAAAAGGTCTTTTACATTTTTAGTATTGGCAATTTTATATAAATTTGAAACTGTATCTAAGCAGTCAGTCGTCTGAAATACGTGTCATTGTTGACTTCAATATCCTGTATCATTACTGTTTACCTGATTTGACCTCAGTAACCAATGTTGTTATATTTGACCTTGTTTGACCTAATTATCCAGTGTTATAGTTGACATTGTTTGACCTCGGTCACCAATATATTATCAGTGTAAATGTTGTTTGACCTCAGTATCCAGTGTTATCATTGTTCACCTTGTTTGAACTCAGTCACCAATGTGTTATCAGTGTTGACCCTGCAGGTTCTTCCTTGTTATAGGTTGGCTCTTCTGTGGCCAGTAAGGTAGCGGCTGGTGGTCACCAAGGTTATGCTGCCCTTGGAGGTCTCTACACACAAGCTCGTCCCATGGTTCCACATCTGTATGGACCTTTGCCCATGCAGGCTGAACTTATACCTGTAAGTGTGAAATTCTTCCGTCATTTTCAAAAGTTGATATGTTTTTTGTTTAATTTTAAGTTTTTTACAAGCCCATTTGTAGCACTGCAACTTATATAAAGTATATGTATATCATTTCGTACTTTTGGCAAATTTAGAAATTTAAGTTTACATTTATGGTAAAAAAAATCTGTAATACATACTGTACACATTGGGTTATCATAACTAATCAAATGATAAACATTAAACAGAGCAAAGGAAAACTGTGTTTCATATTCCTGGTTTCAGTTTAGGAAACAGTTCAAAATAGATTATTCATCAAATGTCTTTTTTAAATAAATGAATATTGAATAATGTAAACTTGAAAAAAACTCATCTTTGAAACAACTTTAGCTAAAATCAATAGAAATAATAAAATGCTGCTTAGAGTGTGGTATCATGAAGATATTGCTATAGTGATTGTAAAGTATACAACTCTGTAAGAATGAGTTCAACAGGTATGAAAATACATTGTCCTGACTTTGACTTTGAGTCAGAAGTAATGTGTTGACCCCATGGGTTTATTGTAGAAGAAATATCACAACAATGCAAACAAAACAATTGTCAATTGATTATTTTATCCATATGATACAATAAGATATCTTCTCACTGCAGGGTTATGGTAAGATTGAGATTCCACCTGAGGCCCAGCCTGGCGTAGTACCGTCTGTTTATACAGGTCATCCATCATACGCCTACCCACCTGATAAAAGTTATGCTGAAGATAGAGGTTACCCAGGCAACAGCTCCTTTTCCAACGGGCCCGCAACTCACAACTACCCTGCTGGAGCCCCTCCTCTGGGTCACCACAGCGGAGCACCATACTCAACAGGATTTCCACAGCTTGAAGCTTAACTTATCAAATATGATAATAAACAATGGTACCAGGATGTGATTTTGATGGAATGCAATTTGACAACCAATCCAGTTTTTTTGTTTTGTTTCATTTTTTAGGAAAAAACCTTTAAAAACCAATGGTCATTTTTATGTATCTTATCAGGAACATGGATGATAAACAAACTTAAATTTGTTATTTATGTGCAGTCCACTGATTTGACTTGTAAATTGCAGTGTTTTGATTTTGACAACATATTAAGAGGCACTGAATAAAGAAATGTTAACAAAAATTCAAGATGGATTCTAGTTTCAACTTCTTTCTATTCTTTTTCTTTCTTAGTAGTATGATTTCGTTTTGAAAAGGAATTTATTTTGAGATTGAATTCTTATAATCAATACTTTTTATTTAGAATTGAAAGATGAAATTTTATTGTGTTTCCTTTCACTATTCAGGACAGAAATCTGCTATTTTGTCTGCGGTTTATATTTTTCATCCAGGTTAATATCACACCTTATTAACCTCATCAAAAGTCCATAATTAAAAGATATGATGTATCTCCTGTCTGTGATATGATTGTAACATGGATTTTACTTAATGTTCTATTTATAACCAAAATATGTTAAAAGTATGTTTCTATGTGTATATTGTGGAAAAGAAGATGTACTGGAACAAAAATATCAATTAAGAATTGAGACATTTTCATAGATGTGCATGTGTTTTTATATATAAATATGTAATATACAGTTAACAGTAAACATACTGCTGTATTTTGAATATTGAATTATATACAATCTGTAACTATTATCAAACCATTTAAGTTTTGAATAAGGCACACCTATAGATTAGTTTTTTTTTCCTAAATAAAAGCATTGTGATTTCAGATTTGTAATAATTGATTCCACATCCTTCAATATTGAGGATTAAAATCTCTGGTTTATGAACAATTTCAATGCCAAAATGTGTTTTATTATTTAGCATAGTAAACTACACCTCGCACTAACCTGTGTTCTAAAACTTCCTTATTTTCTTTCCTGGTATACTTATTAATTTCTGTCCAATAAATTTTGTTTGATTCTGATAAATTATGAAGTATTGATTTAAGACTCCACAGAATTCTACTTTAATGAGTTTATTGATTCTCTGTATGCTTGTTGTTTAACAAGCTATTTGAAAATACAAAAGGAGTGGAAATTAAAGACAAATTCAACTTGCGTTCAAATGATAAATAATAATTAATACTTGAAAATGTATTGCACATCTGTTATAAATTCTACGTATTATATTTTTCATCAATCTTTTCTATTCTGATTTGCTCAAGAACTTTCAGCACATCAATTTTATAAACCTCTGTGATATTTCTATGTTATATATATATTCATTGATGTAACTTAGTTACTTGTAAATATGTTACAATATTCTGTGTTATTGTATTGTTGTATAAGTGTGCTTTCGTCTTTTACATTGTTATGAACTATCAAATATTTATATTATTTGTTGATCAAACATTGTCGCTTGATTTATGAGATAAAAACAGCATCAGTATTAGATATCAGTCAAGTTGTTGCCTCTTCCCTATAAACTTTTATATATGGTACCTTGTATGTTTGTATTTTTAAAACGTAATTGGATTTTTGAAATGTGCATTTGAATTTTACTCTCTGTAATTTTCAAATCTTACTGTTTATAAAACCAGTACAGCTTTTTAGATGTTAATCTTTGAAATCAGCCAAGGTAGAAAATCAAAAAGTCACATTTTGATAAAAAGTCATTATTTACCCTGTATGAATTGTAGTGGTTTTTTGCTTATTTTTTCTAGTTGCTTTATCATATATAAACTTAATAATACTGCTCCAATCACTTTCTGCAGCCTGCATGCTTCTTATAATACAAGTACACCTTTACCTGATTATTTGTCTGATATATACATACATATATGTAATGTACATAGATTATAAGTTAAAAGTCAAAGTACTGCAATGTATCTTGCATACTTTCAAATATAGAGTTGCTTCCCCTGTCAGTCTAAGAGCCTGTTGTATGGATAAGCAGTGTTTCAGGATCAGATTCTTTTTTGTCCAGAGATGAGGTATTTCCTCAATGTTACATTTTTTCTTTTCTTATTTAAACTAGTAATTAAAGAAATTGGAATAAAAAGATCAATGATTTCATTTAGGACAAGATCAGTACAGGGTATTGTTTAAAAAATAATTTTGCTTTCTTTTTAATACCATTGACACCATACATTGCTTGTATATCACGATTGCTGGATTGATAAAGACATCCTGTTCTCATTGAGATGGATATACATTAGTTTCCAAATGGAACCTCTGCTAATCTACAATGGAAATCTGAAAAAAAATCATTAAAGATGTTTATATTCAGATCTACTTTTAAATGGTACACTTGTAGTACCTTTTGTTTGGATTTTATCTTATTCTGTAAATTGTATCAATTATTTAAAAGATCACTCTTGCCAACAATGATATACAACTTTAGCAATTAGCGGTTAGCAATGAGCAATTAATAATAAACTTTTAAATAAATGTAAATAACTCATAACAATATTTATCAAGAAACATTTTACTGAGGCAAATATATTCACAGCCATTTTTTGTAGGATTACAAGGAAATATAATTCTAAGATAAAGATGTCGTTTTTGATGCTTTATCATAGGATATTGTGTAAATAATTTTTACTTTTAAACATCCTTACCAAACAAAACCTGTTGATTCAGTTTTAATCATGAAATACCCTTGCATGAGTGAATTATTTTTCGTAATGATAACAAGAAAAACTATCCTGGAAATATCACTTTGTTTTAATTATGTTACACAAAGATAATTACAGAAACAGCTTTGTTGCAGATCATGTGAATAAATATTTTCTGTTTTTTTTATATATATATATTTTAGCTTGAACGTATTTTCAATGCAGAAAATATTTACACTTTAGCAAAATTTTGGTTAAACTCCATACTTTGGTTGATAATCACTATCACTTGTTTTGTCCGCTGTTTAACCTTTCTATATTATGATACTATACGTTGCAGTGCTTGCTATTTTCATCATGCTATTTAATGTTTGTATACTTCCGGGCTATTTATTCCTTCAACTACAAGAAAAATAAATAAATAAATTCTATGTGCGCACAATTATCAAGAATTTTTAGATTTGTTGACAGTTGAACGTATGTTTCAGAAAGAAAAATATATTAACGCTAACCGTAAGCTTCAAAAAGGATGTTAGTGTATTAACGGACAGGTGCTGATTTGAGCGGAAATGTAGTTATGTATGTCCTTTAATGATGTGAGTCATTCCGAGTCAGTCCTGGATCTCTGCTCCATTCATATACAGAATTGAACTTATTTTAAGGTTATTACGACACAAGCAAACATCCAACAAGAGGAGCTATAAGTCGTAATAAGTTATTACAACAATAAGTTGATAGGACGTATACCTTGAAAACGCCCAGACTTGGACGCATTTTATCCAGTGTGGTAAAAAGGCTGGGAAACCAACCAAATTAGAGAAAAATCCAAATTATACACAGGTGTCCAACTCTCACTATATGTAGCTATTATTTTTTTTAGTCGTAACTTGTGAACTGTCATTGAAATAACCTTGAGGGAAGAATTTCACCAGCATCGTTGTTCCTAGAAACAATCAATGATAACTTTTATACAACATGCCTGTAGTGTTCCTCTGGATCAATGGTTTTGAACTTTGACATAAATATAAGATCAAGAGAGAAATAGAACCAAGAGCAACTTCAATAAGGAACACAATGACGTCATCAGAGAAAATCTCAACTCTACTGACTAAGACACTCTTAGCTGACAGGGATATCTTATTGGCGTGGAGAATTTTTCATTGAAATTTTCCATAAAGACATTGAAAAAAATGTAACAGGAAGAAAAACGAAATCGGCCAAATCGTACGCCGTGTATGACAGTGTTGATATGGACTTAAGAGACCATGGAACAGTTCACTACCTGCAAATGACTTAAATCACCAGAACTACGAATATGTTAGAACTAGTACAGAAAATGTCAGCAGATTATTCGTCATGTAAGATCAAAAACCAAAAAACCAGACCCAGATCTAAAATCGATGCATATTGATTTAGCTAGCATGTATCAAACTTAATAAATTAAAAGACTGGGACTAGACATTATGCATACCCCAGCAAGTACGCATAGTATTTTCAGTGCTGTGTACCCGTTACGGTGTAGGTGTTATGCAACCATTTATTTTCATTGTATCAATAAGCGTTATGCATATCATGATATCATATTGATTTTACGGTTACACTGTACTTGCCGAAGGAATCGTGTGTAATTTGCGTATACGTGTAGGTCTTGTTATAAGAGTAAAGTACTTACGATTTATATGTGTCGTAAGCGTTATGTGGTTGATGATGGGCGACCATGTCCGGTCATGTGGTTTTGACCATACTAGCGCGTGTTTGGTGGCGTCACCCCTTATCTTAGCCATTACCACGACAATGGACTGGTAATTGTTCTCGGCAATGTAACTGCTCTGTTAAAACATAATAAGTTCAATCAACCATTAGCGTTATTTCATTTTCTGGTTTTCCCGGTTGGAGTCATCTTGCCTTCACCAGCTGGATAAACCCACGTTATATTGTTGGCACTCAATGTCGGGCCCAGTGCAAAAAGTAATTCATTGGACAAAAAAGGAAATACAAATGTTTCTCAATAGGGTCACCATGGCGACCATACAACTTCCCCGTAATTTTCATAACCTGCATCTTTTGAACCACTTTGTTAGGAGTTGGCGACTTCTTGCACGAAAATCGTGATAAGAGGAACTGACCCTTGAATCAACAATAACATGTAAACACAAAGGTTCGAGATGCAGGAATATTGCTATCCAGAAATGGAAAATTCACGATAGGGAAATTGAAATCATTACGTTTATCATACAGCTACGAAATCAGAGTGGAGACTGTGGATGTGACAGGTAGCCCAGATTCGTGTACTGTACAGTTGAAGGATAGCGTGGCCATTGCCATTGCCAATGACATTGCCATTACTTCCTTCGT